TGTGTGTCGTGAGGAGAGTGTCACAGATAATTTGCAGGTTCTTGCGTGAGGCTAACAGGAACCTGTATGGGGTCTTCACAACCTGCAGCGCTTCTCTTAACCTCCTGGTGACAGAAGCACCAGCCATTACTGTTATCTGTCTGTGCCGGGCTGGGCTTTCCCACCTATTCTACTACAGGCGCTCCATTAATGCGTCAGCATGACGTCTCCTGCCTCCCTCGGCCTCTTATTGATGTGTTTGGAGTTTTTATTATACCCGAAATCTTGGCTGTTTGAGAGGATATCACGTGAGAGCATTGGAAAGACTCGGGTACTAAAGGGATAGTTCAGCCAAAAATTCTGCTATAATTTAGATACCTTCATGTTTATTGTTTATTCCAAACCGGTTTGCATTTCTTTCTTTTGTGAAACACAGATATACTATGAAAGTCAATGGGGTCCAATGTTAATTTGCACCCATTAGAGCCCATTCACTTTTAAAATGTCTTTTAAAAGAAATTCATAAAGTAAATGATGACAGGACTTTTTTTATTATTATTATTGATTTTTACTATTCTAAGTACATTTCTGGTTAACTCTTATCAATTGAAATTAGAAGAAAGTGTCTATTAAATAGATTTTCAGTGACACAACTTTTTTACTAACAGATTTACTAACTCTTGACATTATTGTCATATAATAATTTTCATCAATGTAATATATAATTTTCAGTATATCTGAATATAGTGAAAACATTTTGTAATAGTATGTTGTATTGTGTTTGTTGGCAAAGCTTAGTTCAGCCACTGACACAACTTACCCCAAAGCTGATACCAGATGCTTCATTTGATAATTCATTGCCAATCTTTAGCCAATCAATTGGCATGATTTTATACAGTACATTGACAATTCGCCAACATGTATGATAGATATGTTTTATACCAGGATACGTTTGCAATGAAAAAAATCTCATTTGACCTGTCATGAAAAAAAATAACTTGTATTACTATGCAGGGCTTGACATTAACTTTTTTGCTCACCAGCCACTGTGGCTAGTGGTTTTCCAAAGTTTCTAGCCACTTTTATGCTTGAAAACTTTGTGTTTGAACACAAACCCTGTGGGAATTAGTAAAATTATGTGCAGTACGCGCAATCCCACGCCGAAATTCAAGCCCTGTAACACCAACAATATTCATCTGGAGCAAAAGAAATGAGTGAGTAAGGAGAGGAGGGTTTGTGTGTCACTCGCTGTCGGAGAGATGAGAGAGAGAGAAAGAGCAGCTGGTATTTTGTATCTATTCTGCGGAAAATGAGTATGGAAGCATTTCAGATATTTTAGTATCAATGTATTGAAAATCGATATTTTTTAACAGCATTGCTCTTAGTTTATTATTTCAGGTGCCGTAAAAGACTACAATTGATGAAATGTTTTTATTTAGGCTATATATAAAATGAAACCCGCCAAAGTGGCTAGTAGGAGTGACTGTTACACGCCACTGCTGAAATCCACCCGCATTTGTCAAGCCATGTTACTACGTATGCGGGCCCTTTCTAAGTATACTGTAGGGTCATGTGACAAATTATGCAGCTAGATCACACCGTTTACTCAGACAAATTTGCTCGATTGCTGTTTGAACATATTCATTAATATTTTTTTTCTACTTGTGTGCATACTATTCATGCTATTTATACTTCATATCATTGCAAGATGTGTCCACAATGCATATTTCATGCAACCTACATGCTGAGGCATAATGTTGATTTTTCACTGCAGTGTTTTTGAGGCTTCTTAATCTCTGTTTAACTAATGTCTGAGAAGATGTCCTGGGAGCCCCAGTGTTTACTTTGGGTGGTCCTACGACAGCTACGCTTTCTGTCAGAAGATTGGGCTGAGCTTTACCTATCCCTCTTGCTCTTTCTCTTTCTCTCTCGGTACACTAAACTGAATTTGAACAGCACATGGTCTCCGGAGTGGCCGGTGTGTAATTAGTAAACCCAACTAAAGAACAATCTGTGAGATCCCATTTTCACTTCTGGTTTAGTCACGACTCATTTCACACAAACACACTTTGCAGTGCTCTCTGTTTCCTGTATATTGATCGGTTGTTGTAAGGTCTTTGGTCAACTGGACTCAAGTTAACGTACATGTTAAGACAGGTCAAAGTGCTGAGTTTATATATTTTTTGCAGCAGCAGGATGTATGTGCTCTGTTCAATATGGAGTTTGTCTGGCTGGTTTAAAGCCAGGAAAGGGCTTTGCTGTTGTTTTTCTCCCCTGTGGTCACAGATCTGTCCTTGTCAGCTGTTTCACTTGTTCACAGCTCTCTGAGAGCTGAAGCTGAGATGCTGAAGCCTTTATTTTGAGACATTCACTGTTAGCGATATTGCTGTTTGTATTGATGTACGACCTTAATAAGAACTTGGCTGCGATCCTTACCAGTGTAAGTGCTGTACACATGAGATGTGACCCTCCAAATCATCAGTGTCGTGTTATTTTGAAACCGATCACTATATTTAAGAAGATGTGAGCAGCTACGGTCTCTGGGGTGTAGATCCAGCATAAATCATGTAATGCTGGCACACACTTCTTATATGAAACACTTCTGTCACTTTGTCATCTTTGCTCATCACGTTCCAAACTGTCTTCACAACGGCTAGGGAAAGCTTTCAAATATGTGTTTTCCCAAAATCCACTGATAAAAGTGGAGAACTAAAGGACTTTTTAATATTTACTCTATATTTATCTTACTCTAAAACTGTATTTTCCATTTACGAACTGTCATTTGTGGAGTACAACATACATTTGTTTCATATTTAATAAAACACATGACATTTGAACTTATATTGCTCATTTGGACATGAGAATGACATTGTTTTCTTTTAGTCCAGTAGTTTTCGGTCTATAAATTGTCATTAGGTCTACTCACACTAAAGCACTGGATTCAGACTATTAGTTTTCTAAACACTGGCTTAGTTACAGTTATTAACAGCATGTCTGTGATGTCTAGATGTGTCTGGAAAGGAAGATCATGTGCCCTGTAAAAGTGCATCACAAACCCCTTGAAATAAACCAAATGTGTTTATAATTATAACTAGGTGTGTTTGTCGAATTAAAAAATAACTAATACATCACACAGATTTCTGTAATTACAGAACATGTTGTAACAAGTTTTTTAAATGAACTTAAAATAATGTTCATATAAAACCATTATAATATGGGTTCATTTAGCCGTACCTTTTAAATAGTGTGTTTGTTGATGTTTATGCTGTACAATGTTGCACACTCATTTTTCACACAAGTAATTTAATACAAGTACTATTTAAAACATTTGGCATCAGTATTTTTATTTGACCATCATTGATAAAACGCAATTGTTCATATATATTTCCGCTCTTAACACCAGTGTGTCTTAATCCCATACATGATAAATGGAAGTTTACTGACATCATGAAAGACTGGTATCCCAGCATACAGCACATGTGGGTCGTCCCATCAGAAGCAGGGGTGAGCAGTGGACCATCTGAGAGCTGGATCATACAGTGACCCTCTGGGGGAACGCATTAGCTAAATTAGCATTAGCTATTTCAGGAATTGGCCAAGAAGATGCTTCGTTAATTTAGTTTGATGAGCTGAACAACAACAGTTAATTGCAGAACTTTTTCCCAGCTTTAATTATATCATAATGTATATAATTGATGGAAGGAATAAATTAAGCCGTTAGCCAAGTTAGCCTGAAAACAGCAGGTGATTTGCCAGTAGATAAATGTCTTTTGGATTATCTCTTTCTTTAAAACGCAGAGCAGAGGTGTGGATTCAGAAGATAATTCAATTTAACTGGTTATTTATCAAAAACAGACTGGGTATTTTTTCGTGGGCAAAGGGAAAAACAGGAACATGTACAAACCAATAATATTGAAACAATAGTGGTATGAAAGCTAAGTGGGACAAAATGGAAATGTGTTTTGGTATATATTTTTATTATATTTCATTACTATTTTATTTATCATCTTCCACTATTACTGCTGCTGCTCTACTAATATTACTTAAAGGGATAGTTCACTTCAAAATGAAAATTCGGTCATCATTTACTCACCCTCAAGTTGTTTCAAACCTTTTAAACGAATTTCTTTCTTCTGCTAAACACAATGGAAGATATTTTAAAGGAAAAAAATACTATGGAAGACAAGATGGGGTATATCACCTGTTTGGTTACCGACATTCTTTGAAATACCTTCATTTGTGTTCAGCAGAAGAAAGAAACTCATACAGGTTTGAAACATCTTAAGGGGGAGTAAATGATGACAGAATTTTCACTTTGTTCATCAAGTGAACTATTTCTTTAAAATCAAGTGTAGCATCAGTTCTGGCAGGTCACGTTAGTCAAGTTCGCATCAGCTGATTCACGGCTACCTATAGGAATACGGTGGCAATCACAGCATTCCTATTTAAGTTGCCTTTAGTTATCCTTCAGCTGATTTCAGTGTGTTTCTCAGGAGCTTATTACCCTCCACATCCCCAGCTGCTTCTCTTGTCCACAGTGAGGATTTAATCCTTAATGTGATTGTCATCAAAAACATGAATGTATTGCAGATATCATTAGTGATGCTTCGGTTCTGTTTATCGCTGCTCTCCCTGTTCTTATCCATACTAGGCTGCATGTTCCCCACAACAGAACCATACCGCCAATCCAATTTGTCAGTTGTCTTTGACGGAATTGGTGAGTGAAAATTGTTTCAAAGATCAGAGCCATAGCCGTGTGGGAAAGCGCTCCGACATACAGTGGGGTTGCACTTCATGCTACCCAAATTCGAGTCCTGACTCGAGGTCCTTTCCCGTTCCAATTCCTCTCTCTCTCTCTCATAATTTCTGTCTTATTTAAATAAAATCCAAAAAAGCCACAAAAAAAAAATCCTATACATTTGTGTGTGTGTGTGTGTGTGTATCCTCTATTGTTTTCCTAAATATTCGATTGGTTGACATTGGTATCTAATGTAATGTTATCTTAACTGTGTCTCCTGCAGAGTGTGGATACAGTGTGTTCGCTGTACAACTCCTTCCAGGAAGGCTCTGGGGGTCTGATGGAGGGCCAGGAAGAGCAAACGGGGCCAGAGGTCCCCATGCTCAGGCCCTGTCCGCGTCACATGTCTGCCACAGAGAGACTGCGAAAGGTCATCCAGGAATTAGTGGACACAGAAAAATCCTATGTAAAGGTGAGAACTGACCCTCTAATCCCCTATTAACATAGTTAGGCATAAAGAAATGATCGCTCACGTCGAGTAGAAATCCATGTAGTCATCTGTACGATACTTCGACTTCATTAAAACGGAACCGTTTCACAGATTTATCCGGCGCTATGTTGATCTGGAAGTCACACCTCAAATTAATGATAGACCTATGAGGTGAAAATGGCTGTTTTAGCAAAACACGTTTGATGAATAGAGTCCCGAAGGACCGCCTATTAATTAACTGAAAAGAGCCTCCCCTCTTATCTGTTTCCTCAGTAATACTGAGACTGGCAACACATAAATTACCATATGCACGTTTTACACTGCATAGTGAACCTTTAGATGGCGTTAAAAGTGTTCTGTTGTAATGTGCTCTGCATGGTTAATAGGTGTCTGATTATTCCAGCGGTCTGTGATTTGTTGTGTGTGTGTGTGGGGGGGTCCTGCGCTGGAGCTATTTGTCTGTGATATGCTGCATCGGCACTGGCAGACTGCTATAAATCAGCCTAATGAGAATGTTGAGGTTGATGCACCGACAGCCTGCCGATGCCATAACATGGCCGCCGCACATGGCACAGACTCGGGAGCTTTCAGGGGGAGACTTTGGCTGTTTAAACCTACTGTATCTGTGACAGGAATCTCCCTGATTAATGGCTTTGCTTTAAACCATCACATTTAATTACTTTTAATATGAAACAAAATCTGAGCTTTCAAATTCTGTCAATTTTATAATAAAATTCAAACAATAAATGTCGTTTTGAACCTCTTTAATGTGGCGTCAGATGCTTTTCACGGCTTTTTGTGTTTTTACTTTTGACATTCTCAAAAGTACGATTTTTTTTTACTTCGTGTTTTTACTACATGCCTGCGCACATATATTCAAACGCGCATACCTATAGAAGGAACTCTTAATACGCATGTGCACACCGTCAGCATTCTCACAGGTTCGCGTTTTTAAAGTTTGCGTAGAGAGAACTTAAGACTTTTCTGTTAAAACAGTGTCGTGTTAGCGGCCCCTAAGTTAATAACTAATGATCGTTGCGACGGAAGTGAATCAATTAAAACTAACTTTAACTGGAAAATAACTTTATTCTAGAGCTGTCATAAAGCCAAAACAATCTCTGTTACTTTAATTTCCTATTATCACTGTAAAGCAGCTTTGGAACAATCTACATTGTTAAAAGCGTTATATAAATGAAGATGACTTGACTTGACTTGACTAAAACATAGGTGAAGAAGAAGCAGAAACAAGCTATCCCTGAGTCTCCATACTATCCATCATTAATAGTATGTGAGATTAGAATAAGTGTGTCCCAAAGCATAGTATATTGAAAAGAGTATGCCAGAAGTCCCCGGATGGTCTAGCCTACTATTCCCGATGGATTTTCGAAGTGTGGATCCGTGCACACTATAAAGGCTAATATTACCCACAACCCATTGGGCTTTGGAGGAGGAACTACAAACACGAGTAAAAAAGTGTTAAAAAAACTACAAAACATGGGAGATTTGTGCGACCGATGGTGCAGATAAAGGTTTGAGTCACTAATCAAAGTTTAACCTGCTAAAAAAATATTTATTTAATGTTATCCGTATTATATTTCATCTGCAATAACAATGTGGACTTTTATAAATATCCGTTTGGCCATTAATTTTTAAATTCATAATTATGCATTAATATGAGGAGAGTCTCCGCATGAGAGACCAGTGACTGCAGATCAACGTGCTACTGCATTTCTCTCTGATTTTAGAGGATTTTAACTGTGTCAGAATGCGACAGAGAGCAACCGTTAAAGACGTGATAGTATGTCCCAAAGCTTGTCTACTTTTTGCTACACACTAAGAATTATCTACTTTTTCTTCACAAAAAGAGTACACACTTTTAGGGTGTAGTATAAGTAGGCGAACTGAGACGCAGCATATATCTTATGTGAGCAGATGCATATGTTAAATAACGCGATAATCAACATTTAAAAGCATATAAATCAAATCTGCCTAATGCTTTTGAATGAAATGTCGACCCAGGACAAGCTATAGGACCATGCAAGCATTAGGGGTGTTGATGGACTCGAAACGCAATTTTATTAAACTTACACAAATTCAAGTTTTGATAAAAAGGAATGCATGAAGCTAGAATAAAATGTTTACCTCAAGCTGATCAGCCTCTGCTGATCCTGCAGCCAATGAGATAAAAAAAAAAAGGACTTCCTGCAGCGCACTATCAGAGTTCCTCTAAACCCTCCACTTCCCCCAGCTCCACCTGCCTAGATCTGCTATGGGATTTATGTATGTGTATTTATGCAGCAGCAACAGTATCTTACATGCTCTCAGCAGTGCATCTGTGTATCTATTAGCAGTAGCAAGTCCATACTTGCTCTGCAGCAGCAGCGTAGCTAATCTAGTCCGTCAAGACCAAAAATACATGAACATATTCAATAATATGATTCAATTCAAAATTATTTCAAGAGTTGACATGATTGAAATGTGTATAGACAATTCAGTCTTTATTTGAGAGTTAATTTATTAAGTACGTAAGGGATAATACATGGCAAGCTGTGCATTAAACGATTTTAGTGCACGCTGTGGAGGCAAAGCATAGTGGTTGTGCATTTAAATTGTTTAGTGCACAGCTAGCTGTGGATTATCCCACTTATACCATGCTCATTTGCCAGCAGTTGCATCACTAAAAATGTTACTCCATCTTCGGTAGGGGTTGGAGTCATTACACACTCAATTCAGATATATCATTAAAGATTTAAAACATTTAAATAAACATATCAAGTAGTAAAAAATGTGTATGTAGTATTTTAGTTGATCACTCTTGTCAAATCTCTGATTTCTGGGACGCACCAAGACAATTTGATTTGCGATCATGCTCTGCTTGTTTCACTCATAAAGTTTACACTCATTTGTGTATCATATGTCATTTAAATGTGTTAAACCTTGTACGATATCAAATAGTAGAAAATGTGTATGATGTAGTTTTGTTGATGTATCACTCTTGTCAGAGCCCAGGCAACACGACAATTTTATTTGCGATCTCGCTCTGCTCATATCATTCATAAAGTTTACATTCATTCACCTCACATTTATTATTGCATAGTGATTTTAGAGGTTTATGTGTAATATATTGCTATGCTATCCCTGGCTCACCTGTTATCCAGCAAACACGAGTGAATGGGTCTGCCAAAAAAAGATTATATTATTCATTAATAAGGCATTCAACCTCGGGCACATCCCTATTCCTAACAGTTTTTTTTTTTCAGACCTTAAATTTATGAACTGACAGTATAAGGATACTATATTACCCATATACAGCTGGATATAATGTGGTAAAAACAATTCTGGAGATGTGAAAAGCTCATTCAAAGAGTGCTCAGGGTGTCGTCTTCTCTGTTTCTTCTATAAAGGACCTGAACTGCCTGTTTGAAATTTACCTGAAGCCCCTACAAAAGGAGACCTTTCTCACCCAAGACGAGGTAAAGCTAAACCCACACTGGAGATAGATGCAAGGGGTCAGTGTTAGATTGAGTTGTCAGATAACAGATAGCACAGTGATACATCTTGCTTCATTTGCCACAAGCTTGCATGTCCCCACTTTCCCTTCTCCAGTGACTGATGTCAAAGACTCGCACGTTTCAGACTGCCGCCCAGTGAACTGGATATGACCCTGACACGGCTCAGGATGTCCCTGAGGAAAGATCAGTCAATATGTGCTGAGAAGTGGGCCATATTAAAGCCCCGTTAATGTACGCCGGAGCATGCCCTCGCACACATTAGACAAGGACTAAACAGAAAGTGGCTTTAGCGCTGGTTCTTAAGTTACTTGTGACAATGTGGGTGGCAATAACAATTTAGAAAGAGGCCCGTGTTAGAAAGTCTATGCTAGCACAGCTGAAAGGAGATCTGCAGATTTAAATGGAGTCCATTTTCTGTGAAGTACTACATTTGTACCCTGTTATGTAATTTTCACTTTTATATTAAAGGCCTTGCACACTGAAATCCCTTGCTTGCATGCTGTTTTTAATGAATTAATATTGAAATATGGAAAGTTCTGTTTAATGGTTGAGGGTTTCCTTTCCCCCAGATGGAAAGTCTTTTTGGCAGCCTTCCAGAGATGCTGGACTTCCAGAAGGTTTTCCTGCAGACCCTGGAGGAGAAGATCAGCTCCTCCCCCAACTTCCACACGCTCGAGACCCCTGTGCAATTCAAGGTGGACATGCCAAACGTGGCTGTCATCATACTCTCGTCTGTCATTTAAGAGCATTTTAGTAGAGCTCCCTGTTTTGGGAATAACATTTTTTTAAGTTAAAGGAATAGATCACCCATTTTTTTTTTATTCTGAAAAGGTTTTTTCTTCTTCCATGGAACACAAAAGGGTTTATTGATTTAGTCACAAAATGTGGAAACCCATGGCTTCGCATGCCAAGTTTGAATGTGCAAATGCAAATGAGGGAAAGATTTTCAATTAAAAAGCTTACAATTGAGTACGACTTTGTATATAGCGCATGAGTCATCTAGGCTATGTTTATTGTTCTTAATGAATTTTTGTCAGTTTTGGAGCCCTGTATGGTTTAATAGTGATAAAGAGCAGCTCGAGCATATTCGCTGCAAAACAGCTGCTTTTGTGCTTCATGGAAGAAAATCAAAGAGGTTTGGAATGACTTGTGGGATGGGTAACATTAAAACTGTTACTTAAAGTCATTCTGACTTCAGTGAAAGACTTGATCATACTTGCTTCTTGATTTCAATGCTGTCTATCTTTCTTTCCTTACCTAGAAGCTGCTCTTCTCACTGGGTGGTTCGTTTCTGTATTACGCAGAGCACTTCAAACTTTACAGCGGCTTTTGCGCCAACCACATTAAAGTGCAGAAGGTTCTGGAACGAGGTACAGCATTACTCCTAACTCGCTTCATTTGTGAGCAATAGAATACAATATTTCTATTAAACAGAAGAATTTATCCGTGTCGGTCCTTCTGGGATGTTTTGAGCCGTTGTTGGTTTATCTTCTCATCATAATCTACAGAGTATTAATGATTAGCGTCTATAAATGTTGAACTTAATTTATGCGTGCAACATTAGCCTGGTTCTCCATCTCGGGCAGTCTGCCCAGTAAGAAATGAGTGAGAGGCTGCCCTGCCCACATTTAAAGTGGAAAACTGTACCATGGCCTCCTTTTTAATTCATCCCATTACAAGATGAGAGCAATCCTCAGAGCAGCCACAGAAATTGCACTGTAATGGCTATAAAACACAACACGCACTGTTTAACCACTGCTGGGTGAGGACATGAAACGCAGGCGCGACAACAGGGGTGTGTGTGTCGCTGTCTGTCAGCGGTGCTCGTAATTATATATTCTCACACACTGCTTCTGTTGTGCCAAGGTTTCCGTTTGCAAAAAGAAAATGACTTTTTTGTGTCGTCTTGTTAATTGCCTGCCAATTGCTCCCTGAAGTGTCAATCCATCTGGGGCGAGGAGTGCCTCAATTACTGCTCTAATAGCTCTTGATTTGAACCACATTTATCGTTCTGCGTGCTGTCGTGGTGTTAACTCCCCTCACAAACTCCTGCCAAGACAGGTCAGAAGGCTTCGTGACGTACACAATCTAGTCCCTCCGTACTCACCTTGGTGTTGTTCATTGTCTGCAGTGTTGCATTTACACTGCAGTGTTTTTAATGAGGCGTCAGGGAGCCTGTGCTGCCTCCTTGTGGAGGGACTTCTGTGCCCTGTGTGCATTTTACCTGCAGTGGCCCATCCAGAAAACACTATCCAGCTCCTCAGTGGGTGGCGCTGGAATTTATGATTTGTCTTTTCTCTCCAGCCAAAACAGATCGATGCTTTAAGGAGTTCCTCAATGCAAAGAATCCCACCAAGCAGCACTCGACCACACTGGAGTCCTACCTCATCAAACCAGTGCAGAGAGTGCTGAAATACCCCCTGCTGCTCCGCGAGCTGGTGTCTCTGACGGACACGGACAGTGAGGAACACTACCACCTCACAGGTACATCACCTGGGCTGCTTCAGTCTCATTTTAGTGGGTGGGTTGTTGAGAATTAAAGAGAGTTAAAGAGAGTTGAGAATTAAAGAGAGGAAATGCCCTTTTCATGCGATGAAAGCACGTTGTGACCAGGGGCCAGTGTGGAAATTGTTCAAAATAACATGAATGACATGAGGGTAAGTAAACTATGACAATTGTAGTTTTTGGGGGAACTAAACACAAAACAAATTCTGGGATTGTAATGGGCATTCCCGTTATAAGATGATGACAATAACAATATTGTTAGCAATATATCGTGTCACAAAATATGGCAATATAAAAATGCAACAATATGTATCGTGGATAGTGACAATATGAATTGTGTATAATTCACCTAAAATAAAAATTACTGTGAGAGAAAAAATTCAAGTTTTCAGAATTTTCGTGTCAGTACTACTAATGTATAATAATGCAATTGTGGAATATTTGTGGGTCCTGATAATGCCAAATGTCTGATGTTACCAGTAAAAAGTGGCCTACATTATTTGTAATATGTCTAGTCAGTGATAGAGTGCAAGCATATTCGTCAAATAATTCTGTATTTTCAGCTTCAGATTCATGAATATTTTTATTCTGGTGTCATTATTGTCCTGTGCTTTGGGTTCAATGCATCAAGTCCGAGCCTATTCATTTACACCCACAATGTAATATCAAATTTAGCATTTTAATCAACAGTACATTTTTTGTTAACCCTTTACCATATGTCTTGGAGTATTGCAATAATATTGTATCATGAGTTCAGTATCGTGATATGTATCGAATCGTGACATGAGGGTATCGTTACTCCCCTACAAACTGCAGTTACATTTTGGTGTAAACTCAGTTTTCTGGAATCAAAGCCCAGTATGAATGTATCTTAAGACAGTTTATTATTATTGTTACAGAGGCACTTAAGGAAATGGAGAAAGTGGCAAGCCACATAAATGAGATGCAGAAGATCTACGAAGACTATGGTGCAGTATTTGACCAGCTGGTATCAGAGCAAAGTGGCGCTGAGAAAGAGGTACAGACGCATATATAGTGAACGCACCAGGGTAATACCCTGTTTAACAGCATATTCAGTTATCATCTGTCTCTCTCTTCCTCTTTTTCTCCCAGGTCTCAGAGATTTCCATGGGACAGTTCCTCATGCATTCCTCTGTGATTTGGCTCAACCCGTTCCCATCACTGGGCCGTATGAAAAAGGACCCTGAGCTGACTGTTTTTGGTGAGGCTTTGCTCTTTTCCCATGAAACCATTACATTCTTAGTTGTGCCAAAATAAATGTTTTATACCTTAATATGTTAGTAGTTTTTAAACAAATGCATAAATCTACTTCTTAAATATTCTGAGGCAATATATGGGAAAGTTATTGTGTCATGCAACACTCGGCTTGAAGCTTTTTATAGCTTTGTGAAAGTTTGTTGGGCTTGTTTTGGCAGCAGTTCTGTAGCCTCAAAGACGAAGAATTCTGTCGTTTTCTAAAATTAACATATCTGCTTGACTCTGATTTATCTTAGTTTTTAAGAGAGCTGTGATACTGCTGTACAGGGAGAACAACAAAGTGAGAAAGAAGATGGTGAGTCTTGTTTTCACCTCGTCTAATTACTCTCGCAGCTCCCTAATGTCCCGTCATTTTGTCATTTCTTTTTCATGCATTATACTGTGACTAGTTTAGAAAACAATACTAAATATAAATATGAGCTGTCATTTAATTATTCATCCTTTTGACATATAAAAATACAGATTTTGGTACAAAATGGTTTTGCAGATTGCTTTTTTATAAATGGTGTTCGGTGATTTGAAGTTGTGGACTTTATACGTTCGTATAGTACAGTTTTATTAAAACAAATATGCACTCCTTTAATTTCATATGCATCCTTTGTTTGCCAGCCAACTTCAAGATCAGCCCATGGAGATCAGGATCCATTCAAGTTTCGTTGGCTCATCCCCCTGTCGGCACTACAGGTCAGACTGGGCAATACTGCAGGTAACTGACACGTCTGGCTTGTTTGAGCTCATAGAGACAGTAATAATTAACAGTCATTTTTAAATGTACCAATAACAAACCTTGGCTTTTAATGCTGTCTGAAGACACAGACTGCATCTGGGAGCTGATCCACACCAAATCCCAGAGAGAGGGCAGGCCGGAGACGGTGTTCCAGCTGTGCAGCAGGTAAGAATGATCTACTTGGTCATTTATAAACTTAGCTTATTCCATACAGAGCTTAACATTTGACATTTTCTCTCACTTGCAGCACTCCAGAGTGCAAAGTCATCATCATCAGGGTGATGCGTTCCATCCTGCGGGAGAACTTGCGTCGAAACATGCAAAGAGTTGAGCAACATTCTGAGAGAGTCTGTAAAAAGAGACTCACCCCCCTTCGGAAAACGTTGCCAGCTTCTGCTAAGCTAGGTCAGTGTGACCTCCCCTTTACTCACATGTCTGATGATGTGGAAGAAGTGGCCAACATCGTGATGCGTCACAGTGGAAGTGTTCAAGCTGCACATTACAGATCAATCGCTATAATCTTGAGGCGAGACTTCAAAGTCTGTTGACCGTTGGTAAAAAATGACTACATCACAAGCTGACTTTGAACTTCAGAACTTATTCAAATATATAACCATGGTCATAGCAACCATATATGATAGTGGTTAACTTTTAAAGAGCTGTCTGTCAAACAAAAGGATATTGCGAGTTGGCTTGTTCGTTATTGTACATGATGATAGTTTATCATAAATTAGAAAGGACAAGCTTTTGTATCATGTTATGTTGAAAAACAAACAAAAATATGGTAGAAGATGAGAAAATTGCGAAATTACAAGGAGAAATTCAAGTATCATTAACACACAGAAAAATGTGTACTGGAGATGCAAACAAGGATAAATGATGTGTTTTTGTACATTTTTCTTAAAATAAAGTTAACTTTGTCACAGCTGCATGTCATATCATTGATACTTGCATATCATACTACTTTATTACTATCAGAACAACCCGATGTTGAAACCAAAGCTTCAAACCAGAGTCCATTCAGCATGCTTCTGTTTTTTTTAAATAAAACCAAATAATCCACACATATGATGGCCTAAACACACACACTTTATTCATAATCTTTTTATTTGATGGAGAAATTTTTAAATTTTTTTTAAATGACAAAAGGTCAGTGTCATAATAAACAACATGTCTGATCAAACACTAGCATTTTTTGAGAATACTGCCTAATTTCGAGAACAGAATGAACAAAATTTCACCAAGTTGCCATTCCGGATAACTAGTATTGAAAGGAAAAATATATTAGATGGACAAAATGGTGGACAGCAACAGCGCAGCAATTTGGGCTGTCAGTCATTTATCTGTCATTGGGTCAATTCTTGTCTCAATTTGCCTGTTTATACTATGCCCTAAAAGTATGTACTGTTTTTGTGAAGAAGTACATATTTTTGAGTGTGTAGCAGAAACATAGGCAAGCTTTGGGACATGCATCATACAGTAATTGTGTCTTTAACGCACAGCTCTGTTAGAGGGCAGTGTAAACGGTGACAGGATGCCTGTAACTGTCAATCATCTTGCCACAATTAAAATCCTCCACTTTCAATTGAATTGAATCTCTTTCTAAATCGGAGAGAAGTGTTGTAACACATTGATCTGCCAGTCGTGGGTTTTTCATGCGTAGAACTCTCTTTGAGTGTTTGCAATTTGCATATTGATGCAATTAAATGTTAATGACCAAACGTATCACTATAAAAGTTCTCAATGCTGTTGCAGATTAAATATAATGTGAAAAATATATTTTCGTCAAGTTAGATACGGATCATGAATCACTCAAACTCACCCTTTATCTAAACCGCTCTACTTATTTGTCGGACTCCACCATGTTTGTAGTTTAACACTTTATTCGTGTTTGTAGTTCTAACCGAATACTCGTCCAACGCGCAATGGGTTGTGGGCAATATTAGCCGTTAGAGTCTGCACGGATCTGCACTTCGGTTTCTAACCGGAAAAAAATAGACCATCCGGTTATCTTTAAAAATACTAATTTCAACATACTATGCTTTGGGACACCAATTCTAATTTCGAATGCTATTTAGGATGGATATTATGCGAACTGGGTTCTGTTCATGGAGCTCTCACCTAATGAGCTGATGATCTGAACCTGTGTCGGATAAGAGAGACATACAAAATGTGCAGAGAGGTTGGTCTCCTGGACAAGAATGGAAAACCACTGCTCTGAAATGTCAAAACGTGATGTATTGATGATATTTGACCTTTGATATTTGATAGTATTCTTCCTCTAAGATCCACGACTGTGTTTGTATGTGCACCACAGGTTCTTCTCGAGGATTTTGGCTCTCTAAACTGCCTATAAATGACAGTCCCAACCCCAGCAATGATCCATTGAGGCCGTCTCTACCAGATTCAGATTCAGCCAGTGTGAGCAGTGGAAACACCAGCAGTGCCAGCGCTCCTCTGGATCCGCAGAGCGACCTCAAGGAATCCAGCATCATCAGTGATGAGGACCACGACCAGCAGGAGTGGCTCGATCCCAGTGCCATCGAGGCCCAGTTCTGCAGGCTTCGGGTGACCGAGGACTCCCAGACTCCTGCGCCCCGTGTGCAGCCGGAGAGCGCAGAAGTGGACTCTCCTGAAAGACGGCCTTCTATAAAGCGAGCTCACTTCGGCGCAGTCAAGCGTAAGTCTGGCAGAGGCACGGGTAGCCTCAGACGCAGCCAGGCGGACCTAGTGAACATGCGTCGACACAGCCACTCGTTGGACAGCCAGACCGAGGTGATGGCGAATAACGTGGATCTTAACTCACTACTGGAGAAGGAGTTCAGCGTGCAGAGCCTGACCTCTGTGGTCAACGAGGATTTCTTCTATGACAACACCACAGAGGCAAAGAACGCGACAGCTTCATAGAACAAAGATTAGCATGTGTTCAACACCTTGATCTAGTGTGGAGCCACATTATCCCATGCCTTTCCAAAGTTATCAGACGATTTAGGGAAGCACCTGAAGGCCAGTCTTTTTTCTATTGTGGAGCCACAGTTTGACAGACCTTTATTAAAAATGGCATTAAGCGTCGAGTAATTCTCCATGATCCATAGCACTAATGTACTGAACTGCCCACATAGCAACTGTTTTGCACCAGAGAACCAAATTACTGGTCTTGGTTATGCTGTGTAAGAAGGGCAAAGGCATGTGTGTTTTCCCACACACGCACACATATATTAAGAGCTATCCAACTACAGAACCGAATTTGGTCAGGTTTTTGATTTTGCCTTGTGTTTTGGACAATACATACATTTCTTGCTTTAAATATAAGCATTGCTTCTATTATGGATTTGCTTTGTATAAAATGTTTTATTTATTAGCAAGTTTTTATAAATATATATTTCATTTTAATAGGAATCTAAAAGGTTGGTTTAAGAATCTGTCAGGAGATTGATGGTTTAACGATAATTTCTCCTTTGTTATAACAAAGTGGTCAGCTGTAAACATTCAATCAGGAATTTAAATGTGCTATGATGGAAATGTACCTCGAAAATAAAGCCTGCAGTTGTCCTTTTTCTAGAATGTTCAAATGTGTAAATATTGTTTTTTCATGGATTACTGTGACTTGAAGAGTTTATATAAGTTTGACACTTCAGTCAAAAATAAAGGGTGTCTGATTATGTTATTTTTGTCCTAGTGACATCCTGTAACCTGCAAAAAGCACACTTTATTTTGCTGTTTGATAAACACAAAGTAATAAAGTGCATATTGTAAAATGACACAAATGAATCACGCTTTGAACGTTAAAGACAAGAGTATGGTCTTAGACACACAAAGAACATCAATCTTACTAGCACACATGTATCCAAAAGAATATGTTAAATAATTTATTCATCAAAGTCAAATTATTTTTAGGTAACTATGGTAAACGTTTTTCTCTGACAGATGGATGTCAGCCTCTAGCTGTAAAATGATTAAAGCATTCCTATAGCTGTTTTATGATATGAAAGGTTTTCTGGGCAACCCCGTCTCTTCCTCTGATCAATACTGAGAGACTAGGGGCCTCATTTATTAAATGTTGCGTCGAAACGTCAAAGACTGTTTTTATAAATATGAACGTTGGCGTGGATTTTAATGTATGCACACACTCCTAAGATCAAATCTGTGCATACACGTTTTATAAATGAGGACCATCGAGCCTGATTTGATTCATATAATCTTTCTTCCTATTTATAAAGCAGTCCACAATGGTTTTAAATTTCTACCATAACTTTATTTTAAGCTCCTCACATCTTTTAAATGATGTTTCACCTAGCCCTTATAGAGTGCTTAAGTGTCAAAACCAATGCACTTTTTTTTTGTTTTGTTGAAAACCTTTAGCTGATTTAGCCACATTCACCTCATTGCTGGCTAGCTGTCTGCATACTCCATTCAAGAACCAAAAAAAAGTGCAATTCATGCCAGCTGCTGAAAATGTCACATTGAGAGTCTGCTGTTTCATGAGTTAGCGGTTGCCAGTAACATTTTCCTTTATTGTGGTGTGAAGGTGAAGCCCTTTACGGTTGCTGCCCGACTGTCTCTTTTCCTGATGCTTGAGTTTCAGCTCCTCTCTGAATTCATAGTCGACGAGGCCTTGATTCTCCTTACAAAGCTGGCTGTAGGCGTCTGCTAAAGCCCTGAATTCAGAAATGGAGATCTCAGTGGGCCGCCGTGTGGGATCCACATCAGCACTGCGCAGCAACTCTTCCGTCAGTTCCAGACGCTGAGACTCGGGGAACAGCATCCTGCAGGAAACAAGAAAACACTCATCACACGCTGACACAATGAGTTAATGTAGAAAACTTGAAAAGTTGCATGGAAGTGACGTTATGTGGTCTGTGCGGATGTTCGCTTTGCTTTTCTTGTTTGACAAGCGCTGTGGTTTGTGCATCTGCTTGTATTACAGATGTTCCATCTTAGAATTGCCTTAATGCATTTATTGCGTCCGAATGTTGTTTTGGAATGTTGCAAGTTAGGAATTCCAGTGAGGAAAACAGTCATGACTATTTTTAGAACAAACACAACAGAACTACTGTATATAAAAGCTATTCACATGAGCACGTTTAAACTATTTAATACTTTCATTAATGTGATTCGCTTAAAATAAGCAGGGCAGCCAGAAATGGCCCTCACACTCCTCACTCCAATGATACATAATTGCTGAGTTACTTCCAATCCTTTTTTTTATAAAGCCTTTATGTATAATGCATTATGAAGGTATTTATAATGCACATTATAGGCTAATGCATTATATCTTCTCATAAATAATTGTAAGCAAAGTTAAAATGCATTACAATACTTGCAGATTCCTAGTTAAATCTGATATTGATTGGTTGACATGTTTTAAAGGATTATCCTCCAAAGGTGTTCAATGCATAATGCATTAATAACTGTGGTTACAATTATTCATGAGACCATACAATGCATTACAAGGCATAATTAATTTCATAATAGTTTTATAATCCATTATGCATAAAGGCTTAAAGTAAAGCGTTACCCTTTTTTCTTTTCTTTTTTATATATTGACCCTAGTCTGGGTAAGCAGTCCGATGCAAAAAACCCTGCCAGGGATAGACTGGGGTCTTGGGGTGTGTTCACACTTGGAAGGTTTGGTTAGATTAAAACAAACTCTGGTGCGATTGCTGCCATCCGAACCCTGGTGCACACCATTCAAGCGGAAAGATGGGTCTTGGTCCGCTTCCAAACGAACTCTCGTGCGATCGCTGAAAAACACTCCTTTACACACTTTATAAGCTCTTCATGAGTTCTCAGCTGGTCAAAATAGCATCATATGAAGGCTAAGCACATTTAGCCACGAACACAGCATTGGTTTGGATGTTCGGTAAGTTTCCATCGCGAAATATACGTAATAAAAGCCGACCATTCAGGTTGTGAATGTATCCCTATGCCTTTAGGTTCAGTATCTTTAAGTTCGGTGTTAAAATGCTAATGTGAACGCTAAAAGGACAAAGACTAAAAAAGACTAAAAAAAAATTTGGTCCGGACCAGACGAGCCAAGCGAACCGAACTACAAGTGTGAACACCCTTGGACTGTCTAAAAGGTTGTAGTTCAAGTCGATTTTTCACAACCTTTGTTTTCACGAGTTCCACACAAGTCATGAGTCCTGGTTCTGGAGAACCGGTTTCCTGCAGAATCTAGCTTGAACCCACTGCACACCTGCCTGGAAGTTTGTAGTAATCCTTCGAGCACTTCGACTCGGCGCAGGAATATCATCTCTCGTGAAAAGTCCTCTTCCCCGCTCCCTCTCCTCCTCCATCTCATTTCAACGGGAGCGGACTTTTCACGAGAGATGATATTCCTGCGCCGAGTCGAAGTGCTCCCAAGCACTTGCTATGGTATTCTGCCATACAATATAGTTATCCATTTTACACGCTTAGAAAAGCGCAACGTTTTATTTTGTGTCACCGTCCTAGGTCGAGTTACACTCCTCGTGTAACTGTATTTAAATAGGGAAAACGTGGAGGTGTTTGGTCGCTTCTCTTCTTGGCACGTATTGAATGAACAGGGCTGAGATAAGATCTAACAAAGTTTCGCCGCAAGACAGCGATTTAGTGCACGCACTGAGACGAGAGAGGTATGTATCAACTCGTCTTAGTTAAGGGAATAACATAGTTTAATATGAAAAACCAGTAGAGCATCCCTTTCAGGTTCAGGTCACTCCTGACTTTTTTTTTAATAGACATATACCATGTTTTGCTGGATGCACCAAGGTACACAACAGTACAAGCAATTGCGCGGACTGTACTTCAATCTCTCACAACCTTGTTTCATTCACCTCTAAATATGGTGTCTACCCTGATTAAGGTAGCCAGATTAAACACATTGAGAATAGAAGCAAAGAGAGTAGTTTTGAAAAGTAGTTGATAGAAAGCCTGGGAAATGCTTACTGGAGTCCTGTGCGACAGTGCTTCCTCCGGAACTGGAAGGCGTTCTTGACAATCTTCTCGACCAGCTTGAAGGGCTGCTGGATCTGGGGCTGAGCCAGCGGAGTGAAGTGCACCACCCCCACATCCACCTACGCACACCGCGGGGTGATGACACACACACACACACACACACACACACACACACACACACACACACACACACACACACAATGTTAGAGTCAGACATGGAGACCATATTCAGGAGCTACTCCCACTCGAGAGTAGGGGAGAAACGGAATGGAAACTAGCCAGAAAAAGGAATATACGCATGAAGAAAAGCAGAGGGTTGGGAGAGGAAGCAGTCGGTGATGCTGCACGACGACAGGCCAGTTACGGTTGCTACAGTAACACCTGTTTAAAGGACCATCAAAACAAGCCTCTTCAAATGTGAATAGTAAGTCTCTATTTACACTGTTGCTTCCTAAATGTTCTTATTCCCAAAGCCTAGTGCTGCTGCTGTAGGGGGATGCTCAGCTTTGCTCTGCCCTGGTTCACCGATCAGCACAAGGGACGGGGATTCTTTTCATTATGCAAAACCGGCACAGACGTCTGCGGTGCCCAGACTAAAACCTGTTTCTCTCACGTAATTGTGGTGTGAAAACATAATTTTGGTCGCTACCGAACCAGTAACAAACCTGTAGCAGTGCATTATACCTGTGCATTATTCAGTCTTCTATAAAAATGTGCGGGAATGTCCCTATAATGGACATGTGGGATGGAGATAAACAGAAGAAAATGCAAACTGATGTGTGCTGCATTTCAGCTGCGTGGCTCACTGTAGTTTAACATGACCATAAACATCTGGTTGAGTTGCAATCATGCAGGACTCTTGACTATGGTTAGATTATTCCACTCTTGGACTTTAAATTCGAGCAGGATACAAAGCTTTGAATCTCCTTTCTGGGGTTTAAGGCTACAAAAAAGCAATAGACTGGAGATGACAGAGAAGTGAAGATGTGACAAGAGCTTTCAGAAACCATTGCCTCAGCTGTGCAGGAGGAGAACACATTCAGGAAATCAATTTGGCCCACTGTCATTTACCCCACCCGGGATGCTGGTTTTAAACTGAAACACTCAAGCCCTTTTTTCTCAGGGGTCTGAAATTTTGACCAGGTGCATTCAAGTCCCTAACAATTCACAAAGAAACAGGATTTAGGAGCAACCAGATAAAGTTATATATGGATATAAGCAGCGGCTTGCCTATAATATACCCTTATATTTCATTCAATATTCCACAATATTATTGATCTGCCTGCATTGCACTATTATACAAGAACTGAACTGGACGATGACATCATGGTTTACTCAAGAGCGGCTATATATATATATATATATATATATATATATATATATATATATATATATATATATATATATATATATACACTCACCGGCCACTTTATTAGGTACCCCATGCTAGTAACGGGTTGGACCCCCTTTTGCCTTCAGAACTGCCTCAATTCTTCGTGGCATAGATTCAACTAGGTGCTGGAAGCATTCCTCAGGGAGTTTGGTCCATATTGACATGATGGCATCACACAGTTGCCGCAGATTTGTCGGCTGCACATCCATGATGCGAATCTCCCGTTCCACCACATCCCAAAGATGCTCTATTGGGTTGAGATCTGGTGACTGTGGAGGCCATTTTAGTACAGTGAACTCATTGTCATGTTCAAGAAACCAATTTGAAATGATTAGAGCTTTGTGACATGGTGGAAGTAGCCATCAGAGGATGGGTACATGGTGGCCATAAAGGGATGGACATGGTCAGAAACAATGCTCAGGTAGGCCGTGGCATTTAAACGATGCCCAATTGGCACTAAGGGGCCTAAAGTGTGCCAGGAAAACATCCCCCACACCATTACACCACCACCACCAGCCTGCACAGTGGTAACAAGGCATGATGGTTCCATGTTCTCATTCTGTTTACGCCAAATTCTGACTCTAACATCTGAATGTCTCAACAGAAATCAAGACTCATCAGACCAGGCAACATTTTTCCAGTCTTCAACTGTTCAATTTTGGTGAGCTCTTGCAAATTGTAGCCTCTTTTTCCTATTTGTAGTGGAGATGAGTGGTACCCGGTGGAGTCTTCTGCTATTGTAGCCCATCCGCCTCAAGGTTGTGCGTGTTGTGGCTTCACAAATGCTTTGCTGCATACCTCGGTTGTAACGAGTGGTTATTTCAGTCACTGTTGCCCTTCTATCAGCTCGAACCAGTCTGGCCATTCTCCTCTGACCTCTGGCATCAACAAGGCATTTCCGCCCACAGAACTGCCGCTCACTGGATGTTTTTTCTTTTTCGGACCATTCTCTGTAAACCCTAGAGATGGTTGTGCGTGAAAATCCCAGTAGATTAGCAGTTTCTGAAATACTCAGACCAGCCCTTCTGGCACCAACAATCATGCCACGTTCAAAGTCACTCAAATCAACTTTCTTCCCCATACTGATGCTCGGTTTGAACTGCAGGAGATTGTCTTGACCATGTCTACATGCCTAAATGCACTGAGTTGCCGCCATGTGATTGGCTGCTTAGAAATTAAGTGTTAACGAGCAGTTGGACAGGTGTACCTAATAAAGTGGCCGGTGAGTGTATATATATAATTAAAATAAACTTTTTAAAAACAAAAATGATAACATCACTGAACTTAGAACGCTGGACTGACGCTATTTTCTTCTGGAAACAAACTTTGTTGCATTATTTTCCTGTTATCTCTGTAAAGCTGCTTTGAAACAATCTGTATTGTAAAAAGCGCTATATAAATAAATGTGACTTGACCTTTACCAACTAATAATTCTCTTCTGATAAAATAGACTTTTGAGAAACCGTCACCTTAAATCAATTCCATGCAACTGACCATTGAAAATACATTGTTTGTAGTTAGTCAGTATCATTGCCTGCGATTCCATAATTCTCTCTCAGACAACATCCCTGTCTTTGAGTGTGATCTTACAAGAAGAAAAACATTACACACTACTGTCATTAACAACCTTCACACACTGCAAGTAAAACGCACCACTATTTGCACCTGAGCAGAAGTGCTCCATTACTGCAAAGGGTGTGAAGTTTAATTTGTCATTTGGAAAGGAGAATGATCAAATCGAGGTGGCAGTCCCTCGGGGCAATCTGAGTAACCATTATTTCCTTTACATAACTGCCAGAGAACAATGGAGTCTGCAGCTGGGAATGCATACAGTGAGGGGAAAATAGTCCTGCAATGAGTATGGATACATTAATCATGACAGCACTTTCAAAAGACAACCACTCTTACTTCGGCTCAGATGAAGCAGCAGAAAGAGAGGATGTAACAGTGGAGGCTGACAGGGCTTTCGCTAGAGAGGCTTGTTTTTACTGTAAGGTTGTTCGTCCCACGCTCCGTGAATCGCCCAAGGCATCGATGGGAACCAAAGGCACTACTGATGTGCTTCTCAGATGTGAAAGGATTCTCATGGAGTCTCTCTCCAGCCTATGAGACTACAGGCTTTTAAGGTGTCTGGCTGAAGACAAGGCAAGATGGACAGGGAGGGTAAGCATGGTAAGAGGGCCAAACACACAGTGGCATTTAAAAACTTTAAGAATGCCAGGTCAGTGAAAAGCACTCTCAGGGTACGTTTACACGTCAACGATATGCTGAAAACGGAGACGTTTTTCCTTTGAGTTTTCCGCATACAGACGACACCATTGTCAAAATGATCCCAATTCACACGGATCCGCGAAAATGGCTAAAAACGCTGTATTCTGCTGCCAGGTCATTAGAAGGTGATGAAACACTATAGACTGAACACGTAATACGCATGTGCATGACGTCATCGTCTTCAGAGATTTGCGTTTTTGTTGTTTACAATGAGACTTGTAACTTGCACTTTGAAACCCGTTTTCAAAAGTTTGCGTTTTCAGGCACCCAAAAGTACATTGGTTTTATTGGAATTCAAGCATTCATTCGTTCATTCAAGCATTTTGATTGAACAGTAAATTCACAAGAAAAAGCACACAGGCAATAAATCAAGGTAGTGTGGAAACCCGTGCACTCCCCTCTTGCACAGCAGAGAGTAATTTCCATTTATTATCATGAATTTAAACAGCCATTTCTGTAGCAGTCGCAATAAGACCATTTTGACATCTGCGTTACAGGCAAACCGCTACAGCAGGGTAATGAAATGACTCCAACAGCAACTGTGAATAAACAAATGGATCTCATCCTAAACAATAAAAAAGCACACAAACAAATAGGGGGAAAAAACACCCCTTCCCTGAAGAAATGTGCAGAAGCTTGAGTGCACATCGAAACTGTCATGAAAGCTAGAGGTGATAAACTCAAGGTAACACGCATATAATAGCTTTCTGTGCCTTAACACGTCAGCTCCCAACACATCCATATTCCCTGGATACAGTACACAGCACCCCTTACACATTTATTTATTTATTTACTTATCAGCACAATCCAAGCATCAGCACTTAATGTATGTCCTCCAATGTGAGGACATACATTAAACCCCCACTAAGGCCCAAATGCATGTCAACTGAGAATCACTTCCAAATATACGAGTATGCAACAACTTCAGCTTCACCTGTGTAGAAATCCTGATTTTTAAACCTGATAAGAGTTTACAGATCTTGTTTACAAAAAACAGGATAGATAGAAAGATAGTAAGATAGTTAGATAGATGACATTGGTTTTGTCCTTTTATCATTTCTAAACGAATGGCATATAGCCACTCCCACCCTGCAGCGCGGAGAGGACGGATGGAGGACAGACGGGTTTATAAGGGTGGGGGTGCAGGGGTTTATAAGGGTGGGGGTGTAGGGGTTTGGAGGGGCAGTAGCTGTGAGTTCATCCTCCTGCAGAGTGAATGTTGCTGCTCAGTGCCAAGTCAAATTATGATTAGGGTGATAGTGGTGCATTGCCGCTATAGTAAAACTCCTTGTATAGCAGGTGAAAGGGACATTTACCATTATACATAATTTTGTAGCTGCCAAAGTGGGTAATGGTCTCTGACAGAAAAAAGGACATGAGTGTTGGTATACAATACCGAAACATCTTTTTTCACAGCTTGTTAGATTTAGACATTTTAACATTCAGTAAAAAAATAAATGTAGGCTATTACAAAAAAATTAAACAGCATATATTCTGATAAAAGGCTGTTAAAAAATAACAATGATGGAGAAGTTTATGCATTGAACACAAGAAGAAAAAAAATCTGACTATAGAAAAAGATTCAGACCTACAACTTAAGGTCTATTCAAAATAGACCTGCTATCTTAAGCCGGTTTGGTTATCTAGTAAATGTAATTTCAGGACTTTTTCAATATTTAAGGTCTTTACATATTTTTTAAGAATTTATCTACTCAATATCCAAACCATTTAATCTGTATGCCGGTAAACAAACACTATTACAATATGAACAAACCTAGCTTTCCTTCCAAATTAATGAGTTATCCCATTTTTTCCTCATAGAAAAAAAATGTTTGAGTTAAAGCGTTGAATATTGACGTAAAATTTTATATTTAACGTCAATATTCAACGCTTTAACTCATCCCATTTTTAACTCATCCCATACTCAAATAGCTTACTAAATGCGATAATAGACGGGTTTTAAATCGCTAAGATAGCAAATAACAGACTTTCATGCGCGGGAAGTTAAGAGCTCGCGCTGCTGCGTGACGTAGAGCATCATTCGAGCAGCTTTGAAAACAGCCTCGTCTCTCTCCATCACTAATGTCCGCTGCTACTGGAGACACAGATACCATGAACCGATCGCTAACGATACATCTAAGGGCGTTTATACTCGGTTGACATATTTAGCAGTTTGTGTGTGTGTGTGTTAATGCTCGGAAACCTGACGCGTCATAGCTCGCTCTGCACCAGCCGAGGTAAGTAAAGGATTTCTGCATTCCGCTCCGTGTTAAACCGCTATGAGTCATAACCTAAAATATTTCTGTTATTGCCTTAGTAACACGAAATTAAAAATGTGTTGTGTGCTCGTGTGTCTGAAACGATACTTTATTTAATTTACCTGACCGTATGGAAACCTGAATCAGACTCCAGTTTTCAAATATCGCATCAATGCGTGCATGTACTGCCCCCCCTCCGCGCTAATAACGCAGCTCTCCAGTCTAGATATGTGTGTGAGGCATGAACAGGAAAGCACTAAAATCACAGTAAGGAACCTGCTTCCTCATCATCCTGTGTTCACGCTTCTCTTTGTTCCCAGTGCGCTGGGGGAGGAGGAGGACACTGGTTTAATTCTCTCACTTGTTTCCTCAGGCAGGCGGTGGTGCTGAGCAGTCTCTGCCGAAGGAGAAGGGACTGAGCAAAGCCTGTGTGGATGTTGGCCGGGTTCAGGAGCGCGGCAGGATGGCGTCCACAGGCACGCAGATCTTCGCCTTCGTGCTGGCATTGCTAGGCATCCTCGGTGCCACGGTGGCCACGTTACTGCCCAACTGGAAGGTGAGCGCGGATGTTGGTTCGAACATCATCACGGCCATCTCGCAGATGCAGGGTCTGTGGATGGACTGCACCTGGTACAGCACTGGCATGTTCAGCTGTACGCTTAAATACTCAGTGCTGGCGCTGCCCGCGTACCTGCAGACGGCACGCACCACCATGGTGCTTTCATGCGTGTTGGCAGCACTGGGGTTGTGTTTGGCCTCTCTGGGTTTGAAGTGCACTCGGTGGGGTGGAGGACGCCGGGCTAAACGCCACGCTGCCATGGCGGCCGGCTCATGCTTTCTGGCCTCGGGCTTCCTCTGCCTCGTTCCTGCCTCCTGGTACACAAATGAGGTTATAGTCAGTTTCCTAGACGCCAATGTGCCGGAAAGCAACAAGTTTGAGCCGGGCGGTGCCGTCTATGTAGCCTTCATCTCGTCTGGTTTCCTTTTCGTGGGGGGATCCATTTTCTGTCTGTCCTGCTCGGGTAAGCGACACGGCCCACAGGATTTGATACTTCTCCCTCCAGACAAACTCCTCTTGCAGCAGCAACAGCAACTTCTGCAACAACAGCAGCAACAGGAGCAGCTCCAGCACCAGTACTGTTCTCTCTCACCGCTGGATAACAAGACTGGATACAGCCTGCAGGACTACGTGTAAGAGACCAACCGTTCAAGAGCAAGACAAGTGCAATGCACTGCCACTCCACCTCTTGGCTCTTGTGATTACAAAATGAAAGGGCGAGAGGGACCCTTTTCCTTTCCTTTCCACCGCTCTCCTTTTTAAGATCAGCAAGCACAAATGGTGGAAGTATTCCCTGAAGCGTCGTCTTGAAACGGACAGATTGTGAATACTGAGGGGCGAGTGGCAGAAACGCTGCAGTAGCACACGAAAGTAGTGTGAAAGACTGAGCAAGATGATAATAAATGCACATATCCAGCATCACAGTAAATCTTATTAAAGTGTTCCTCTGGGAAAGGATTAGCAACAAGGAAATGTTTATGCTACTTATAAATCCCCAACTCCCCCCCCCCCTTCCCAAAGATCTGAACTCAGAAGGAATCGTTTAGCTGCTAACAATCGTTTGGTAACCTCTGTTTAAAAGTAAGATGGCAATATGTCTCTAAGAGGCAATAGTATGGGAGAGCCCGTTTGGGAGATTCTTTGCTTTTCTTTTTACTTGAGTAATGGTTGTGTTAATGAAATCTCTTGTCTTATTTTGGTAGCTGATAGGATGATTGATATTCTGCCTAAGCATGCTTTCTGGAGCCTGTGCATAATGCAGTGGAATGCCTGATGTAGACTGAATTGTAGCCATATAGCCTGTGCCTAAAGAGCTGTAGTTCATAAACCGCTGAAACTGTTTGGAGACAGTAGGAGGAGAGAGTGAACAGGGGTTGCTGGGTCAGGCATGTTTGGGAAACCCATATGGAGGCTGAGAGGAGACTGGCCCTTCTTACGTCAAATGGACAATGTAATGTTGTTCTGTTCAACATTTTAATACTTTGCCCCAAACAAAAGCAAGCTGCCTTCAGCTCAGCGCATGCTGTTTGCCGTTCTATCACACACACACACACACACACACTCATACACATACAGTGCTGCATGTGTGCTTTTTACTCATGCTGCTACTCACTGCCATGGAAATGGGATTTTACACCCAGATACTTGTATTGTCTAGGGGTCGTATCTCTCTGCACACTCGGAGGCTCCCGGAGGCTGTCATGAATCTCTCCAGATAACAGCAGGGGGTGGGGGGGGTGGTTGGGTCGGTGTCTAGAGACAAAGCCTCTGCAACACACACTCTCTCTCAGACGGGAGGGTCCCTGTTCTGCTGACCAACTCCAGTGTAATCTGTATACAATATATGTGCAGCAGTTTTGTCTTAGAGACGTAAATAACATCAACAAAAGCGGAGACGAGATTGAGTTTCAGTAATTGGCAGCTCTTTCATGGCACCTGATGAGTCTGCAATATGGTTATGTCCACTCTCAATGGAAATCTGCTTTGCCAAATGACGTCTGCTTGTCTTACAGCCACACGTCTCCAAATGCCTCAGCAGTGGATCTGCTGACAGATTGTGCCCTACAAGGGGCTCTTTAAATCGCCTTAAAGCAATATTTCGGGTTATTCTTAACGTCTATGGACATCATCTGCGGCATGCTGTCAATTACCACATAAAGGGAAGCAGTTATACATTTACAGTGGTTTATTGTTTTATTTCTGTCTTCCATTGTTATTACTGTAAATGTCTTACAAGTGTAAAAGCATTTTTCATTTGTTTTCACAGACTTGATAATACCAATGACCGCTAGCCACCAATGCGGCTTTATATATACACTGAAGAAGTCGTCAAACATTTTTTTTGTAAACAGACAGCATGCCACAAATGCTGCCCATAGACCTCAATGTTCGTTTAAGTGAGAAACTTCACAATCATACTCGACCTCCCTCAATGCTTGCCATCCCGTTCTTCCTGAGCGCTTACAGTATGGATGCCGCCTCTGACAGCCGGAACAGTTGCATGCCATGTGCCAGTTTGCCAATGCATGTACACACAACCCCCCCCTCCCTCCCTTCATAAGCATGCAAAATAACTTGTGCCAAGAGTTGAGTAAGTGTGTGTGAGCATGGATGCAGCCGTGCGTTTCTATGCTGCTGAAGGGAGGAATGCAATTTCAGTGTTGTTCTACTGGCAAAAAGAGCTTTGGCAGTGATGGATGGCACAGCGCATTCTTCCTCTCAAGCAGATTCCCACAGGAGAGCAGATGGTGGTGCCCAGATCGCCCCCTGCAGGCTGAGCGGGCACTCGAGGGCAGATCACGCCAGCGCATGGACAACAACTACTGCACATGCACCATTACTAGAATGCAATAACCACTCCTCCTACCCTCCAAAGTGACAATGCACTGAAATGTTACAATTGTGAATGTGCCAAACCCATGACTACTTTGCAAATGTATGTGCAGGTGTAACCGTTCTGTTTGCCAAATGCAAGATGATTTAACGTTTTTGAAAGACTGTCATCTGTAATGAGAAATAATTTATAAATATAAAGTTGATCAACTTGCACACTTTCCCCCCTAAAATTCCAAAGCACAACGACTCCAGGATGACAAACTGTTCAGGTTCAGCGTGGGCAGGCTTGAAAGGACTGAGACCATTTCAATTGTGCTTTGGGATTTCATATTCATAACAGCTCTGCAAAGATTGCGTTTATTTTTTTTTTATTAATTTACTGAGAGCACTGTTCAACACCCAAGCATGTTCACAGCAAATCTTCTTTATAAGAAGACAAACATTTACACCTTTAATTGTGTAACCTCATTTGAAAGCAATTTATTTTTTGTTAGCCAAACATGCTAAAAGATACACTGAAATAAAGATGATCATCTGTAGATAGTATTACCAATAGAGGTTTTGTAATTATAAAGACAAACTATTCATATATTGTTATGGTGCAGCTTGTTTATTAGCACGCTAGAAAAAAAAAAAAAAAAAAAAAAAGTTTCATATGACCCAGCCCTCGTTTTTGTTCAGGGGCCAATTTAATGATTCCTGATTGGATAAATGAGGCTTATATTTTGGTGTATGCTTCTGCACTTCTTAATTTTGCAGAGGATATGGTTCAAATATTTCTGTACTGTTCTCTCAGTGTGCTTGTGCAAGTAGTTATATTTTTATTAATAAAAAATGGTGGAAGCATATGTTCTTAAAAAACATTTAAGTCTTATTTAATTCATTTGTGCTGTTTTGTTCATGTAAAGACCAGGCTGTACGGAACACATTCTTTCATATATAACATTTACTGAATCTTTAGACAACATCAAAAATGAATAAACAAAATCAGAATTCATTTGTTTTCTAGATAACCACTGGGAGAGTATTGAACAAAGAAATGTATTCTTTGAGTGGTTCTGAAAATTGTGAATCTCATAAAAAGAGATGCAAATATATAAACTATGCAAACTTTATTTTCTTTAAAGGATGATGCATTTAAATTATAAAGTACATTTGTACACATCACGGCATATTTGTTGTACTGCCTTTAAATTAAGTTGATCTTTTGCTGAAAAAAAAAAAATCTGCATCACATTATTGAGAATTTCAAAGAAAACAAACTTTCATATAACCTTTATTAGGGGGATTTGGGTCCTGATCACATAGCACAGCTTGATTCCCATAAGAGATCTAATGAAATGAAATCTGTGTATTACCATAAATTCATTTCAAAGGTCCTTGCCCTCCGCGGCAGTAATGACAGAGCCAGGGATTGGGGCTCAGATGTTTGAAAGATCCTCAAATCACAAGGCTAATACAAGCAGTGAGGTTAACTTCACTGCAAATGTGCACACTCCCAACCCTACTGTGATGACCATATTCTTTGTAACATTACACAAGGGTGAACTACTCCATTGCTTGTCTTCATGCAAATATGAGGTGCTAATTTAATTCATTTCTGTCATGTAACACCAGCTAAACTGATTAAATACCATTGGCCATCAAAACCCCATCAGCAGTAATGGCGGCCGAATCCATAGACAACCAATCCGTCAATGACTACCTTCAGTTATTGGCTAGCATTTTCTTTTGTAGCATTATTATTTTAGATTAAGTGTATTATCTTCATAATGAGCAATGTAGAAAATAGAATATGACTTTCAGACACCGTGGATGACCTTGCCCTGCTGGAGACACTCCTGGGTCTGTACGTACACACACACACACACACACACACACACACACACGAATAATACTGCCCTTGCTTGGTGCATTGTGAACTGCTGAGACAGGCAGTATAGAATGCCAAGATAAAAGAGCCTGCATGAAAACCAATTTTTTTCCAATTCATAGAATTAGATATTTCCATCCAAACAACCACTCTAGGTTTGGAGGACATTCTTTTAAATGCTAGTGTAAATAAAAGATTATTGAAGCAGGATTTACAAGAAAATACAACTTCAGTCTTTCTACTTCAAAATATCATGTTTTTATTCAATATGTTACTTTTAATTATGAAATTTACCAGCAATTTCGGAGTGAAAAATTGCTTCAAAAATCAATTTTTTTTTAAGTGTAAATCTTACTCTACAAAATATAAACATCTTAAAATTGTCTGTAAATTAACTACATTAAGACTTTTTTTTTACAATTTAAACACACAAAGAAGAATAAACAAATTATTAAATATATATTAATAAATACAACTGGAATAAATAATAAACAACTGGAGCTGCAAATATGCAAGATCTCTAAAATATCTTTAGTCAAACCTACTATTGATATTTGTTCAAAATTCAAAGCATTTTATATTAAATAGGATATTTTTAGATTCAGCTTGAATCATAATAGATAGAGAGGACGTCTGCGGGCATTCTGAGACATTGAAATAACCTTCCTTTACTCCTGATACCTCATTTGACCCCATTTATTAAAATGGAACACTACTTATACCAAATCTGACCCCATTATTCACTGAGTGAGGTTTCATTGGCTGTTGCACCATGGGACCATCACGGAAAATGGAGAAAAGGAGTTTAATGATCCTTAAAATGGACACAAAAGAAAAAAGGGGGGAGAAATCTGGCCTTGCTCTAAAATAGCATATAATGGTTGTTGAAATGACACCTTTTTATGTCCAGGGAATCATTTCAGATTTTTTTAGAATGGCCTTTTTTAAATGTGTCAGTTCAAACTATGCAGAGAGATTATTGGCACTTTGTAACCTGTAACCTCATAATGTTTTGTTATTAGTACACTGACAATGGTTAGTACATAGAAACTACTTCTACAAAGACGTCAAATGCTCATAAAACCAAAAGAGCCAAATCCAGAAAAACAAGTTACGCCACTCCTGCAGGTAGAGGATACACGTACAAGATAAAATAAGATTTTTTTTTTTTTATGTGAAAATAGTGCTGTTGTCAGAAATCTTTAGACAAATATATTTGGATTACCATTTTTATAATATACTGCATGATTTTAAAATAATTTGTGATATGAAAATTGAAGAAACTGGGATAAGCTGACAGTGATGTCAGAGTCGAGAAATGTTTTTGCATTACATCCTTTGTTAAAGTAATTTAAGTAAGTTTGTGTTCTGCAGGTTTCCTAATGAACTGAATGACTTTAGCAGGCCTTTTAGCTCATCTTATTTTAAAAAGACAAGCCACTCTAAAGCCATGTCCAGTCAAAGAAATAAGGATTAAATAAATAAAAATATTCCTCTCAATATCCAGACAAACATCTGCTGGAGGAGCGCTTCACTCTCTCTCAGATCAATCTCTGTCACGAGCCCTTCCTCGAGCCGTCTCGCTCTTCTCTCCTGTGTGTGTGTGTGTGTGTGTGTGTGTGAAGGACACTGCAGTAGCAGCTGGCTCCGTACACGCGTTCGCTCAAGGGACGGCGCTCGTGAAATGCGTGGGGGGTTACTGAAACACTTTCGCATCTGATGACGAGGAGAAGATAATTACATTCATTTAGTCATACTAAAGAATGCAATTATTCTGTCTAAAAGCAGAATTTTGCAGCAGACACAATGTGGGCGATGACAAGTTCATTTGATTGCATTGCAGCTGAATAAGACAAACATGCTAGAAATTAGAACTTTTCTTTAAATGTGACTAATACAGTAAATGCTAACGTGTGGCATAAGTGCTGGGGTTGAAGACTGGCGGTCCACCAGGTGGGGGTGTCAAGTGCGATCCGTGACAGAGGAGACCAGCAAGTGCATTGTGGGCCTGAGGACATACAATACACGGCCAATCACAGTGGACACGAGGCTTCAAGGACAACCACAGTCACTCAATGTGACAGAACAAGGTGCCTTCCAGCGTCCACACAAAACTGCCAGACAAAAAAAAAAAAAAAAGCCACATAAAAAATAAAAAAACACCCCTTGTGGCATGCCGATATCAGCTAATGCTCATGATTATAAATAGAACTCAGTTCTGTTCGGGAACGCTGCAGCTAATTCCCTCCGACCTTACAAAGGGCTTCTGCAGGGAAATGAAACGCGCTGAATCTAATAATTCAATCCATAGTCCTGAATTGCACTACATCTACACTGTTCTCTAAATACAGTGAATGAGCTCCTGCTAATTACCAGCTGCACAATATTCAGTTCTCTAATCCAGTTCATTTGACTAGAGCATAACAGGAGGCTGTGTATTATACTACATGTGTGGCAACTTATTCCCAGACGCATCTTCTCTCTAAACCTGCAAGAAATCCTATTAACTTTGCACCTACTTATTTCAGATAGGTTTGTGCATTGACAATAACACAAGACTACTATACCCTGCAAATATGCAAAAAAACATTCAGCGTTAAATCGAGCACAATGATAACGTGAATTAAGTTCAACAGTCATTTTTACAGTCAAATATATCACTGATTTCTTGTAATCTTAACTCAATTTTATGAAAGCTATTATACGTATCTCTGTCATAACCATCTAAACTCTTTGCTCTTAATGTAATGACAAAAGTACTGCAGGTTTGATAATTGATATTCAAATTCATTCAAAAATATTCTTATTCAATATTTATTTTAGAAACATTTTTAGCAATGTATTTTCATATTTGCTAGAAATAATAATTAAGTAGTAAGATGAAAGATTTCTTTACATTTCTTCCCCCCATTTCCAAAAAGAAAATCTGCAACAACTTAAAAGGAAATTAAAAAGCTATAAATGTTATGCTTCCAATTTATTAAAAAAAAAATGTATTTTTTCAAAACCTCACAAATTAGAAGAATTAGCAAGGCATAAAAAAGATGTACAAGTTCAACGAATAAAAGATTGTCTGATCCTTATTGTAATTAATAAGATCTTTATTGTTGATCCCTGAGAATCTAAATGAATTTTATTTCATGTTGACTTTAGCAGAAGTTTGCAGAGCAACTAGAGCTGATTTCAGTCCTCTAGGGTGAGCCTCTTGAACACAGATGGCAGTTACGCACAGCGCAGTCTGTACAGCAAATAAACTGGCAAAGGCAAATTTGCAGTATTACATTCTTGAACTAATATCAAAAGACAATTCACTGCTTTTAATGCAAGCATCTATCAGTCTCTATGGCCAATATACTATGTGTAAATAGATTTTTACATTTTCTGAAGAAAGTGAATGGTGCTTGCTAGTGCAAAACTCGCCACAGTGATGCTAGGGTGTTCTGGATTAAATGAATATGCAGCTAATATAGGGTGATCTGGATGATATTAATATGCGGTTAATATAGGGTGTTCAGGGTGGCTACTATGCTAGATGGTTTTGAACCTCAATACTCCCTACCCTCAAGTGTGTACAATATTCTGGTCCCTAAAATATGGCTTGAGTCTCTCCTTCAACCCAAGTCTATTCACCTTTTTGGCCGATTTTATTATCCACCACAGAAATCAGATCTTCTCAAACCACACAATTTGAGGACATTATATCCGCAGCACAAACAGTGTGAGATGAGCAACACACTGAAACTGTGAGCAACAGTAATGTGATGCTTAATTAGGAACTATAATATTACATTAACTGAATATTAGGTCAAAATGTGAACAAGATACTATAGTAAGCAGTCATTTCTCATTTAATACTGATTATCATTCTACCTTTCCACAAGATTAATGTCTTCCTGACATCAGAAACCTGAAGACAAACACCAGTGAAATATGATGATTAAATATCACACAACTAAGATTAAGGTCTAAAGGCGAATTCCCACTATTTCAGAAATGTGATTTTTTTTTCTTCCAACAGGAAGGGAATAAGTGGATGGAGAATGAGCCTGTCATTAGATCTTACAAGAGTTAGCCTATGTTTTCCCCCCCCAAAGAGCACAATTAAGCCTTTTTTTCTGTCTACTGCATCATCACTCTTGTACAATTTCTCTCGTGAGGAGATGTTTCAGTAGCTTCTTGTGTGAAACCTCATGAAGCAGGATATTTCTTTCATCAGCGGTGTAGAAGCCTTGGTGTGCAATGAAATAATTATCCGTGCCATTTAATCCAAGAGAATGCTCAATTCGTCCCACTTTCCTTTCTTCTTGGTTCAAAAGCACTCTGGCTGGATAAAATATTTACAGACAAGGGAACTTGTAAGGTAAGGTACTTTCTTTCATAAGACCCCTCTTATCCACAAACCCCTGGCTTTCCCCAAAACCCCCAAAATCAGTCCTACACAACCCAGTGGAGTAAAGAAGCAAGGCTAAACTCTCAAACCTTCCCACCCTGTACGAAAGAGAGGCGTACCAAATACCCTGTGGGCATCATTACACGCTATGCGTCGCCATCTCTGATTCCATATCTGAGACAACATTGACTATGTGCTCTTCTAATGAGTGAACACACACATCCTTTCCATATGAGCAGTCAAACACAGAGATACAGAAATGTAAATGGCAGAAGAAAAGACTTACGGTTGGTTTTGGAACAAAGGCTCGTCCTGGGATGGTGAAACAGCTTCTGACTGTGCAGAGATATTGAGCCATGACAGAGAGACGGCTTCGCTGACGGCTTCCAGTGCTGGCTGTTAACCGCTAAACATTAAACAGGGGACAAAGAGAGCAAGATCTTTGTTTAAAAACCTTTGATTAAGAAAAGACGTTTTAAGACCTTTTTAATGCCACTCCAAATGAAATGCAAGACCAATATCTCATTCTAGGCATTTTCCCCACAACCATTTCATCCTAATACTGAAAATGACTTAAATATTTCAGGCTTCAGCTTAATGTTGTACTAAATGCATACTTTTTTCAGGATAGCAAACTGTTAACAAATTAACTAAAAAATAAAATCTCATTCTCATATCAAAATTTTACTCCAAATGTTTTGTATGCTCTACAGTGTGTGCCAAAAGGTTAAATATACACATTATCTATTATCAAATAAATTGTAAAGCAGCAAGACATACATCAAGTCACATATGAAAAAAAAGTCCTGTAGATGTAAAAGACTCTTTATTAAGATCTCATAAAAATATCATTTCTTAAATAATGTTCAACCTCAAATATTTGATGAAAATCCATACTTTGAATAAAATGATTGTGCCCATGGCTCTGTTGCTATTGCTCTATTGATTTGACACTGAAAAAGAAAAATTCACCGGCCCAAAACAACAACAACAACAACAACAACATGTATTTGAAGCTTCGCAGCTGTTACATTTCGGTTTGAAGTCCTTGACACATTGCAAAGTGGGGCAAGAAATTTGATAATGTTCACTTCTTTAGTAACTCTTTTTAACATTAATTTTCACATTAACTTAAGCTACATTTTAAGGATCTGCGGACAACCTCTGATGCTCAAGTCCTCCGGGCCAGTCTATCAATTGCAGTAGCTTCTACAAATATGTCTTCTTATAGTATATTCTTTCATTTTATTTTCACCATTTCTTTCCTGTGTGACTTATTTTCACAAAGTAAAAATGTTCTAACATGATGGATAGATGAGTAGATCAATTTCATACACCAAAAACTACTGGTTGTTGACCCCTGTTGGACAGCAACTACATTTGTAAACGAAACATTTTTAAACCTTGTTATTCAGGTTATTGTTCGGTTTTGGAGGCGGTGTTGAACTTACTTCAGCCACCTCTTTCTGGAAGGTCAGTGTAAGCCTTGTGCGCCCAAACATAAAGGACCCAGTTCTGTTGGACATCTGTTCCAGCCACTTTATAATGAGAGGAGTCGACACACTGAAGGGCAGGTTCCCAATGATATGCAGGTTGGGGGGAACTGAAACACACAAACTCATATTATACTCTGAAGAACCTTTCACAGACGCTTATACAACAACAGAGTACACAAATGATGTTACAGCGGAGAATACATGACCTTTGTTAAGCTGGCCCTTATATCAACCAGAAGAGGATCCTGCTTTTGTTATTATGAAAATACAAACCAAATTCAGTTGCTGATCAATTAATACACAACCTCCCTACATGCTATTGTGCACAGAAAAATGCATACATTCATAAGACTGAATACAGGGTGGCAGACATTCAGGTAAGCTGACCTGAGAAGAAAGTGGTTGTTCTCTTACTGTTCTAATAATGTGCTGAACAGAGAGGCACAATGGAAGGACTGGAGTGTACATTTTGAAAGAGTGGGTGTAATGCCTGATCCAAATTCTAGCAAGAACTGGCAGCCAAAGCAAAGACTTGAGAAACGAGAGAACTGACAGATTAAAACAAAGTTAAGCTGCTGAATTTGAACACGGTCAGTGGGATGTAAGGAAAATAACAAATGTGAGCCTATTTTTCTCTTATTATTGAAAATAATTTCAAACCAACTCAAATAATAACATTTCAGACAGGACTTTAGGAGTCCAACCAATTCTGTTCACATATTTAATATATACAAAAAGCCTTCTCCACAAATATCGGCACCCTAATCAAATATGAGCAAAATTATAGAAAATGATTGTGAAAAATTAATAAATATTCCATCTCAAAACTAGTTTCTCGAAATTACTGGCACTCTTAGAAATTCTTAAGAGTAAAATCTAAGTCAATAATTGGGTCCCGGAGCGCCAATGTCCTGCAGAGTTTTGCTCCAAATTCTCCAATCCTAATCAAACACACCAGAACAAGCTAATCAATGTCTTCAGCATTACTAGAAAGATACAGGTTTATCAGGGTTTGAGCTCAACTCTGCAGGACAGTGGCACCCCAGGACTGAAGTTCCCCATCCCTGATCCCTCAGAGTTATTAGGAAAACTTACTGGAAGTTGTAAGACATGATTTCCAGTTTCACTGAGGTATAAATATGAGGTGACTGTAGCCTACAGTTTGCCAAGAATAACAGGTCCCATTCAAAGGTCCAGAAAAGCACACCTCAAAAGCAACGCTAAAAAAAGTTGTCATGGCCATCCGTGTCCACTAAACATGTGGGATGAGCTAAAGAAGAAAGTACACAAGTGCGGATCTCTGAATCTGAAGGAATTCAGAAGGGGGGGAAATAATCTGCCATATGTTCATCAACCTTATTACACATTAAAGGACTCAAAACTGTTAACTGTAAGGGAAATTAAACTGAAATATTAAATTAAAAGGTGCCAATAATTGTGGCACACATTTATAAAAATAAAATAAAAATAGTTTTAGTGTAAGACTTGAAGTTGAAGTTGAGTTTTGTGGATAAGAAGATAAAAAGCCAAGACATTTTGCCACAACCTGTTTTGCTCATATTTACGAAGGAGGATGCCATAATTATTTATTGAAATTCATTGTAATGTTTACCATCGTCCCATGTCTTGGCTATGTGAGCTGGGAACCCTCTTTCCAGTCTGTGTGTGAGAATATCTCCATGTGCAATCCTCATTCTTCCAGGGGCAGCCTCAGACAAAAGCTGAAAAACCAAAAGAAGACTCAAACAGTTGAATATTAATGCTTATGAAGCCTATTAAAAACAATCAAATAAATTACTGTCCCAGTAGAACTAAGTAACGTGCACTGTAAGAAGAAAAAAAGAATCATTGATAAAAAAGTAATCATAGGTCTACAATGGCACAGGTGTGATTCGGCTGGATCCACACGGACACGTGTCACTAAAAAGCACAAGACTATATCAGTTAGTGAACAATAACTATAATCATAACTCAGCGCTCCTTCTGACTCGAGGCTTCTAGGCTAGACTACCACTTAGCACTGAATGCTAGAACGAGACGCTCTAGTAAGTCCACGTCAAGGTTTCCACCACTGTGCAAAAATACTTTATATATAAAATGTATTTATATATTTTCTGACTTTCTATCAATGCAATACAGTGAATGACAACCATCTGTGGTCTCCAAATGATTTACATCATGGGCAGTTTAGCATTTAGAGATTGATTAATGTCAAACACAACGAAAGAAAACAATGCCTTCATCTCCGAAAACATTTTAGTCTTGCATTTCATAATGCTGGCGAGCTAAGTGCTGCTTTTTTTTACCAATACTTTTTCATGAATTGCAATGAGCGCAAAAGATTGTGGATGCACAGGATAGACTTGATACAGTACATCCTTCAAAATATGCAGAATGAAGGCCTCGAAACGAAAGCTGCATTCCAAGGACACTTCCATCTGAGAAGAGCTTCAGCACCGCGTGATGACACTGAGCAGAGATGCGCAGCTTTATTACTGGGATGCAGCCCTCAGGTATATATATATATATTGTTTTAAATGAACACTGTTGAGGCCAATATCTAATGAATTGAAGAATGGCCAATGCATATTGTAATGCCACTATGTAAAAAAGTGTGTTTATGGCGGGGGGGACTTCAACTACAGCCAGTAAGATGGCTTCAAAGCATTATTTTTCTTAGATTTACATTTAGACATTATAAAATAATTATTTTTTTACTACGAATAGTGTATATGGGTTATGCAACATTGCTAAAATAATACAAATTTACACTACTTATTTAAAACTACATTTCTTTCAAATTAATAATTCAATTAAAAAATATATTGTCCTGGTTTCAAATTTAGGAAAAAAAGTACACTAAGTCGAATGAACACTTCTGTCTGCCAGTTATCAGCTGGTGTCAATCTCAAAATGGCCACATATTGGGCATGACCAATTTATCGCTCTACCAAATACATTAATATGCAAACCTGTAATCCTGGCATGAAGCGTGTGTCCTTCTCCACCACTAATAAGTCTGCGGCTCCAGCTTTTAGAATAGACCTGGTGAGACCCCCAGGTCCAGGTCCAACCTCACACACATGCGCATCCTTCAGGTTTCCCGCCTGCCGGACAATCTTATCTGAAATACAATCCATTTTGTTTAAAGTTTACATTTAGTCTGCACATAAAGACTGCAGACTTCATTTAAATCCATCAAGTCTTGCTAACACATTCAGAAATAGAGTGAACAGTAGTTGGACGTACCTGTGAGTCGCATGTCGAGGAGGAAGTTCTGAGAAAGCTGTTTCTCGGCTCTCAGGTTATACAGTTTGATAATCTCCCCTATGGTAGGCAGGGGGGGTAACCGATAACTGGCCAGTTTCTGTGTCGCTGCCATCGGACATGAGCCTCTTCTCAATTACAGTGGGGATACAAGAGTCTATTGAGCAAGATTTGAGTTGTATTAGACAATTAACACGATTTTCACAATTTCTTAGTATTTGATATGTTCCCCTTTTGCTTTAATGACATGCACTCAAAGTGACATGGACATGACAAACTTCTTTGTGTTATCAGAATATGATTTCAGAATGTCCCTAAGAGCATCTTAATGACTTTGTGTGCAATTTCCTTCCTTCATTTAACATGTCCTGTAACAAATTTGCCCACGTTGAATCTTAAATGTCTTAAAAGTGTTATATAACTTTTCATTATATGAAAAAATCCCAGCTTTTCAATGTGGTCTCAGACTTCTGTTGAGAACCCCAAAGAAAACCGTATTGTCAGGATGGACAGTCCTGTAGTGTCACAAGGGAAGGGACCTCATGTCCTCATGTCTCGGGACCTCAAGACTCATCCAGAGGATGGTCTCCATTCAATTCCTAATATTCGAGCAACACCTTGTGGTTAATAATCTGAACTGCAGCAACTTTGAGTCAAACTGTCGATTTAATACTTTATTAATGGTAAAATAATAATATACATAGCAGTTTCTGAATTTTCATGTTTGGTTTAATTAAAATATATATAACTATAATTCACCAAAGGAACTCTGCGGGTAATAACGACTAGTCTGCTGGCTCAGAGCACTCTTGCTTAGATAGACAGTGTATAGCACAATTCATTCAAAGTATTTGTATGAAAGCAAAGGCATACATCCCTGGTTGAGAGATTTATAGAAAAGATTGCATGTTAGGATCTAACGTTACCTCTAGATAGTAAAAAGACTCCGCTATGCTAACAAGACAACACGGTGTCTCTGTTTCGTCAATTTAAAATGCTTTAAAAGGTGTTTTTTTAAAATATTTTACTTCTTACTTAGCAACATTATTAAACAACATCTATCTTCAATAAGAACACCGCTGTTTTAAGCCAAAATACAACACAAACAGGAAACACGTTTTCCTCACCAGTGCAGCTGCCTTCCGATAGCGGAGGCTGTAACCATGACGCAATAGTCATTTCATCCAATGAGATGTCTACAATGATCACACTAACCAATCATGTCGAGAAGGGGCGGGGATTTTTGGTGCCCTTGAAAATGTGTAACTTGACGTCGTAGTAGCTCATAGTAGCCACCAGAGAAGTTTTGCAGACACTGTATATTTTCTTTTCCTATTTGTTGTAGTCTATATTTGTTCAATATTTTTACTTTATAAAAAAATAATAAAAAAGTTTTACAGACTAAATAGAAATATTTTATGAATTTAAATATTAGGCCATGTCCAATAGCATATCACAGGGCATTTGGGGGAAATTAATTAAGTGTTACCTATTAAAACCAAGAGATTTCGTATAACAAACAAATCACACCCCTCAACTAATATTTGATTGAAACACCTTTTGCTTTTAACACAGCCGGTCCTTTTGAATAAGAGTATAACTCATTCTTCGATTGGATTTAAGTCCGGGCTCTAGCTGGGCCATTCCAAAATATTCCTCTACTTCTGAAAGCATTCCTCAGTTTTGTTTGATGTTATTACCATGCTATAAGATAAAATTCCTTTTCATCTTTAGATTTTTATTGGAGGCCCGCTGATTTTATTCCAACATGGCATTTGCCACTATCCATGATTCCTTCTATTCTGCCCCAGAAGAAACAGCCCTACACAGGCAGCGTAATGCCATACTTCGCTGTGTTGTTTGGGAGATGAGCAGTCTTGTTTTTATGCCAAATGTATCTATTAAAATGATGGCTCAAAAGTTCAATTTGGTTTCATCAGACCATAAATTATTTTACTACATGGCTTTGGAAAGATTTAGACAGGGTTATAGGCTATATTTTCTTTTTTCTTGAGTATACTTTTGTGTGTGTGTGAGTAATGGCTTATGAAGAATACAGGATATCGTTGTAACACACAGTGACCATTTGCCAGACATTCCTGCAGCCCTTTAATGTTACTGTAAGTCTGGAGTCTGCTGGCAGCCTTGTGGATTTTCGACAAGTCTCGATGTTCTTTGCAATGTCATTGTTCTGCCCCGTTGTCTCCACCTGTTGATGAGGACCTTTCATGGCACATCTGTTCTGGAAAAGGGTAATGCTTCTGTACCCTTCTCCTGATTGGAACTTCTTCACACTGAGATCCCACACAGCCTTTGTAAGCTCTTTGCGGGCCAAGCTCAACAAGATGCGAAGAAAATCCTACAAAAACAGCTCACTTCAATCAGCATCACTTAAATGACGACTGCAGGATTAGAATGACTTTTCAGTAAGAGTCTGAATGTGATCGGTTAATCCCAAACAGAGTAACACGACCCGTTATGAAAGAGTGTGGACACTTATGCAGACAGGTTAGGTTTTTATGTTTTTTCTCCCCTTAACAGCTATTTGTTTGTTACATTCATTTTATTATTTTCAATATTACATTAAAGGTTGAAAAAGATCTGATTCTGAGCATGTAATAAACAAACAATTGCTCGCTTTACCGTCTTTACTATCCTAATGCAAATAATCTTCAACCAGCACTTAATTTACAGTTATTGAAACTGCTTCTGTAATTGTGGAATTTTATTATTTATTTATAATTTAAATATTGCCTATTTTCTGTAAATAAAGTTTGAAAATGAGCATTTTTTCTTTACAGAACTCTGTCGCTTTCAAATATTGTAATAAAAAAAAACATTAATCTTTCAAATTCATTTTCATGTTTATTATCTCATATAGTTTGATCAAATTAAAACTTTACAGGTCCAATTAATTCAAATATTTGACAGACATTAAAACAGTATTATTTTTTTTATTCCAATTGCAAATTAACAAACGGTAACAAATGTAAAAAAAAAAAACAGAAAAACAGTAACATGTAATACAGTTGTAGTGCAAAAAGCATACACATTATTTTCTGAATGTCAGGCCTATCTCTTGTGTTCAGGAAACGGTGCTTTGTAAATTGTTTCTTTAACATCCACCCCAAGTCAGTCTGGCCACATGATCAGTTTTCTGTTTTGTTGATTTAACAAAGCCAAGAAATTCCATCTCAGAAACAGCCTGAATGAAACGAGCACTGTTAATGTTAAGAACAATACATATAAGAAATGTGCTTTCATAGATCTTTTTAAAAGGAAATTAAGAGTGTACATTAACAATCAGTCACATGCTTTTACCTTAAACATTCTCTCTAAATAATGCATCAACAGTACTTTTTAATAGTTAAAATTAATAGTTAAATGTATTATATTAAAATCAACACTTTTCATAATTAATACCTAGAAAGATCTCAAAAAAGGATACTGCTTAAGGCTGTCAAATTTGCCATTCTCCTCCGAATCAGCATCTTGGTCCTCAGCAGCTGACATCACAGTTACAAATGCCTGGCAATATCACAAACAATGACAGGTTACATCCACACTGTTAGAAAAAGATAACCCACCTCTATATGTGATTTTGATTTAGCATGTTCATACCTCAAGCCAGTCATATAGATTTATGAGTCTTCCACACTCGAGATGAAGCTTGTACACGATGCAGAGGTCTGGAGCAGCACTGGAGATTGTGCCAGCATTCGTTTTCAGGCTTTCATTCTGCAGCAACAGCCAAACACAGTAGCAAAACTAATAAGACAGCTATTTTGAAGAACTTTTTTTCCCTTTCAAAATATCTTCTTTTATGTTCCATATCAGAAAGCGTCAGTTTTTTTTTTTTGGATGAACCTTCCCTTTAATGTATGGACTCAATCTGTGACTTAAAAGTGAAAATCGAAATATCGTACGAGAATGTTGGCCAGCTTGGCCTTAAGGTTATTTATAATGATAATAATTTCCTTTTATTTATAGGCGCCTTTCAAGGCACTCAAGGACACCGTACAGCATAAAAGCAAATCAGTAAAATACAAAGCTATGCAAAAACAGACATACAGATCAGGCATACAATCAAACAATAAAGTTTATAAGCTAATGTGCTCCAAAACAATTGACAAAATTCACATTTAGTGGATATATGCAGGGTGCGATTTGCGGGGGGGGGATGCGTGGGATTTCCCCCTTTCTGGTCAAAGTATCCCTGCCTCTGCTTAATTATTTTTATCCCCGGTGGGGATAAATTTATCCCCCTCTCAAAGTGATCAGTACTACTACACTAGTGGCGAGACGGATCACAAAACTTATCACGGGTCCGTGGTTTGAATAAAGTCAATTTTATTTTAAAATGCGCTCCTTCGGCTGGCTCTGGTATAGCGGCCGCAGCCTCTCTGTAATCACCTCTCTGCAGACTTGCTCAATGTCCCGCCCACGGCGCTATCTGATTGGTTACTCCTCACGAGTAATAGCCAATCAACACTTGCGAGACTGAGGCGTTTAGCGCGGCGCGGTAGACGCGAATTGACAGATCTGTCATCTGTCTTTTCTATCATTTCACTGTAGCTCAGCATCGCGATGTAACGTTAACGTTGTTACTTTAACAGCAGTACAACTGTTTCTACTGTGATGGTTTAACTTTGCAATCAATCCATGGTTCAGCAGACTGATAGAAGTAGCCTAGCCTAAACTAAGTAAAGCGATGTAATAATGTGAACTGTCAGTGCGATAGAACAATAAAATCCGAAATGGACCACCCACTGGAAAGCTGCGGATTTTCCCACAGGAAAGCAGAAAAAGACTGTTTTCCTAGTATGATGCAAAGGCCTACACTATAGCCTAGTTATGTTTAAGTTGACACTACGTTGTGCCATTTAATTTTGCCATTCATAAATAAGTGTTTTGACATGTCAAGCCGAGTGGCACTATCCAGGGTACTGGGAGGGGGATTTAATTATTGCGTGTTTTTTCGTTGTGCGTGATCACAGTTCATATAAGCTATTAGAGTAAAAATATTGCGTTAGGCTACTTCATGAGTTAATAAGAAAAAAGATTTTACAATTCCTGCAAATGCAAGTTCATGTTCTCATGATTTATTTTTATGAATAAAACTTTTTCAAAACACCCCCCCCTCTGTTTTTTTCACAAATCGCACCCTGGATATATGTGTTGCAAATTGACAGTTTCTATGCACCACCACTGCGGATCAAAACCTTTGACATTAGGGCTATAACGTATGACGATATATATAAAATGTCTATAGTTAGAGATTCTGCTATATCGTGGCATGTAAATATATAGCACTATTGACACTTCAGAGTGATGAAATGCATGAAGGAGAATATAAAGAGTGGACGTGCTTGATGTTAAAACAGTTATTAGCGCAATAAGTCAGCTGTGCTGTTAGTTTCTAGTAGGCATATCTGTGTATACTCTGTATCAGGTGGATTTCAGCTTGCATTTACATTGGTAGTTAAAAATCAAATGTTGCATCACAACACTTTAGATGAATTCTTCATTGCAATTAAAGTTTCTGAAATTCACATTGCATTACCTTTCATATCTATACAGCGATGCTTTCCAACTATTATCCACCTATTCCAATATGCGTCAATGGATGCTCACTAAAAGGGGAGTATGACAGTGCTTCAGCTTTATCAAGTGGACCTGATTGACACCTATAGAAGCCATTCACAAGAAGCTTTTGCTGATGTTTTGGGGGGGCTTATGCCTTTAAGTTTGGGAAGCTCTGACAATACAACATATTGGCTAATGAAAATGTAGGCCAGAAATTAAGATTGGAATTTAAACAGAGTACCACTGGTTAGTCAGAGCGAGAGGTCCGTTACCTGCAGGTAGTGGAAAGGATGACTGAGAGCCGTCTGAATGGATGTGCGAGGGGTGACATTGAGTCGCTGGCGCAGGACCCCTGAGGAACTGTAGTAGCACACTTCACTGAGTGGCTGGAGTTCTGCTGGAGTCAGGTATTCTCTGAACAGAGGCCCACAAACGTTTGGTGAGATAAGCACATAATTAAGCACACCACGCACATAGAGTTGTGTTGTCTCCTTACCGCACAAGGCTGTCGATAAACTCGATCACCTGGCTTCGAAGCACTTCATATGGATTCATTCTCTTTGTCCTTCGGGACTCTTTCCCGAGCAGCGTCTGCACATAGAATCATGTCAATAGTTCATTTGAAATCCACCAATACTATTTTTTCAAAGCTGAACCAAAGTACTTGATATATAGTATGGTCTGAGGACTAGTACTTAGTGTTGTCACGATACCAACATTTCAGTAGTCAGTACATATTAGGGCTGTGTATCACAAACAATGTCACGATACGATACGCATCACGATACTAAAGCCACGATACGATACGCATCATGATATGGATCAATTTGGAATTAAATTTTAGTTTAGTAACAGTAATATCTGTTTATTGAATAACCAGTGTTATAACAGTTGTGATAACTGAAAAACAATGAGTTAAATGAAATAATAAAATTGTCACAAAAAAGCTTAGAATGGCTCTTCCTTCTGCTTTTAAAGTCTCTGCCTCAATAACTGAATTGACAATTATAGTTGCTCAATGCTCAATGACTAAACCTAAAACATTCCATAAAAGCAAAAACTGTAACAACTTAAATTTAACTTTAGTTTTCTCAAACTCTTTTAAACACCTAGTATTTAACGGTTTGGTCTTAAGTGTTGGAATGTGCAGCAAACAAAGTAATTTCTTCACATTACATTGAAATTATTTTAAACGATTACATCTTCAGATTTGTATGCAGAAACAACAACTGATGGACATGCTCAGGGTTAAGAGTGAAACTCTCAGTGCAGAAGAGAGTGACAGCAGAACGTCTCGCTTTACTTTCTGCTTTCTGCTATAAAACCGGGGCATTGCCGTTTCTGTTCAAATCTGACGTGTTGGTATTGGGTAGCGGGGCTCACGCTCGTGAAACAATTGTCTGAAGTATTATTCTCGACAACGCTATATGGCCATAAATCCTGACATATGAAGCACATTAATGCATTTGTAATCTTTTGAGATCGATTTCAATCTTTGAATTAAATTGTAAAAAGTAGTGCAAGCACTTATTAATAGTTTAAAAATCGCTTAAATGTTTAAACTGGTAAGACTTGGTAAATGGTAAACTTCAGTCACGATGCAATGCTGGCCTGATTGTGCAAGTGACGATTCCGTCATGTCCCGACTCCTAAACGCGAGTGTGTAGTACCACCGCCTGCAGCGCTTGACGTTTGCCTTGTGGTGAGAGAGAAGACGAAGCACCGCTGAACACTCACGCTGTTTGTGAAATTGCGTTTCGCAGAAAGTTTTAAAATGACTGGATTCATTTACTAATACAACCTACATGCTAAAGTGAATCAATGTTTATGGGAATTTCATTCGGATTGTAAGGGGTGGTTTAAACCTTTTCTAATCTGTTCCATAGGACATTACGGTAACACTTGATCGGATTGAAAACTGAAACTGGAAAGTTCTGTGGACGTGCAATGACGTATCAATATAAATATTATGATAAATGATAAAAAATTAAGTCAGGATGGTTAGTATGCGGCAACAGCGGGAATCTCTGTATATTCATGCATTGTGCGCATGTTTTAAAGTCTGTGACACATCAACCCTATCACTTTATTTAGATTCATGTACAGTAAACGTCATGGTCATTCCGATTGAAACAAATGGTGTCCATTTAAACGTAGCTAGTAATTATAAACCAAACCAGCATCAATATTAAATACTTCATACTATCAGATAGTCAAATAAGTTTGGGACACTTAGTAAGGTTTTTTTGCAGCTAAATGAGGATAAAACAGAGGTTTTAACTCTAGGTTATCCTGTAAATTCCTCCCCTGCTCTGGAAGCCCAGTTAGATCCTCTCTCAACCAATGTACGCAAACAAAAACCTTGGGGTGATCTTTGACGCTTCACTATTTTTTGATGAACAAATTAGTGCTGTTATTAGAGGAATCTTTTTCTATTAGATCTTCTGTAAAGTTAAACAATCTTCTTTCAAGCAAAGATTTAGAAGTTGTGATTCATGCACTTGTAACATCACGATTAGATTATTGCAACTCTCTTTATTCTGGTCTCTTCAAATCTTCCTTATAACGATTGAAATTTGTTAAAAATGTGTCCGCAAGACTTTTGACTGGGTCTAAAAAGAGGGACAATATCTCCTCTGTGACTGTAATGTGTGTGTGACTAATGTGTGTGCGGGTGTGTAAATGTATTGTAATGTACAATGTAAAGTGACCTTGAGCTACAGAGAGGCGCTATATAAATAAAAACAACTTCTTTTGCCCCTATTTTAGCATCGCTCCACTGGCTTCCCATTAAATTCAGAGTTGATTTTAAAATCCTTATGGTTGTATTATTGTCCGGCCGTGCACCAAGGAATATTAGTGATCTTTGTGTGCTATACTGTCCTGCTAGGGCACTTAGATCTTCTAATCACTTGCTCTTAACTGTGTCACGGTGTCGCTACAAATTAAAGGGTGATCGGTAGGTTTGGGAATCGAACCTTTTAGTTGTTTTACTATGGTATTTTTAATCCACAGTTCCTTGCATAAGTGTTCTTTAGCCTGTTGATTTTTGTTCATGATATTCAGCTACAATTAAATGTTTTGCAATAAGACTAAATGTGAATGATATCTAAGTTTTTTTTTTACCATATTGAAATCGAAATAAGGAATCGATAAGAATCGGAATCGATAAGCAGAATCGAAATCGGAATCGTTAAAATTAAAACGATAGCCAACCCTAGTGATCGGGCCTTTTCTGTGGCCCGGCCCAAGCCTGCGAATGGTCTCCCCTATCATGTAAGGTCTGCTCTTAAATAGTATATTTATTCTTTAGCTTTTGGAAACCTGCGATTATTGTTTTTATTGTGTATACCTGCTTTGTACTCTGTGCATCACTTTGGATCAATCTATTTGTGTTTAAATGTGCTTTATAAATAAAAGTTGTTGTTGTTGTTTTACAGTAATTATATATATATATATATATATATATATATATATATATATATATAATATAATATATATATATATAATGAGTAATGTGTACATTTAAAAAGGGACAACCATTATTGATTATAGAAAGTGTATATCTATCTATATATATATATATAGATAGATATACACTTTCTATAATCAATAATGGTTGTCCCTTTTTAAATGTACACATTACTCATTACATCCATGTAAAACGTACTAGAAATTTTTTTCTAGTAAACTGGAATTTTCAAATTCCAGTTTAGTAATACTTTACCTTTTGAAGCTGAAAGAGATCTGTTCTTCTGTTCTTCTCCAAGACGACACCATCCCCAGTGCAATCTTCTGAAGTGACACCTGACAGGCAAAGCAATGCATTACTAAGGGTATTTACTGTACATCTAAGGATTCATTTTTTAATACACTCAATTCTTTGCAAATTATTGCAAATTATAAGCAACTCAGGCTGGCTTATTGCCACGCAAACTCTAAATAACCAAATACAGCAAAACAGAAGAACTCTTTAAAAAATTGTTTTATATATCTTAAAGATGTCGACAAGGAAATAAAAGTGCATTATTTGCATGCCCTGTTATTGCAGTAAAAACAACTGCTAGTTCTTAAAGACTAAATTGTCATTTTTGAAAATGAGCACGAACTACCGTGGAAACATGTTTATAGAATAAATTGCTTGATGTGATGTGTCTTCGAGTCATGTTGACTTGTAAACTCAGAAGAAAATATCAGCAGATCAATATTTTTGCACAGCATTTCAAATGTTGATCTGAAGAAGATTGGCATTAAAATTATTAATAAAATGAATCACATTTACTGACACAGTTTTGTTCCCAAAAATAAGACATTTCATATTCTTATCCAATTTCTCCAGAAGTGACTAGTTTGTTCTCTTGAACCCACTGAATGGAAAAGCAAATAGTTTGTGATATTCTGATTATTTCTATAAAATACGTTTGAAACTTGGATGGAAACAACACATACTGACTTACCCTCCAGCGCTTCTAATCTGCCAATAAAATCTTCCACTTGTTGCAGGACATTCTGCATTCTTTTGGTTTTGGCAGATTTAAGAATTTCAGCACACTTCTCTAAAGCTGCAACAAGCTCATCTTTTGCAAGAATCCTGGGGAGAAATAATCAAGAGTGACACTGAAACTGGAGCAATTCCTCCAATAAATACAGGAACCACTGAATCATAAAACTAAATAAAACAACAACAACATACATACACACACATCAGGTGTTTACATTCCAGCTTCTATGACTATGTTCATGGCAAGAGCCAGGTTTAGTAATTCAAAAAGAAAAATAAAGATGTTTAAGATTCAGTCGTTTTTTAACACAATTTAAAAGATTAATAGTACCCTTTTACTAAAAAAAAATCTCACTTGAGAGAAGTGAGTGAGGGTTTAGGAAGAGAAACAAGAAATTCCATGTGTAGTCCACCAGTGTTATAACTCATGGAATATTGTTAAAATTGTGGAAAATCAAGTGCTCGCAAAGCAGACAAAGCTTAATCCCAATTTATAGGCTCATATCCCTTTCACTCGGCACAAAACCAAACGTTTATATATTCGCAATGTAACAATTGGTTGCTAAACTATTATTTATTATGTAAACAAGGCTTTGTAATTCACTTATGACCCAATAACCCAATGCAGGTTGGAGGTAACCCATTGACACAGAAAATGTTTTTGCTGTTACCGTTTATGTCAGTGGAACGAAAAAAGCGCAAGGTCTATAGCAAGCAAGCAAGCAACTTTATTTATATAGCACATTTTTAAACAATAGACGTTGCCCCAAAGTGCTTTACAGAATAATAACATGAAAGTCATACAACAAAACAGACATACATTATTCCAAAGCTAAAGAAAATAAATACGTTTTTAAATAAGACTTAAAAGTTGTAATCGATGGAGCTGACCTCACATGGAATGGGAGACTATTCCAAAGTTTGGGACCTACCACGGAAAAAGCACGATCTCCTTTTGATTTTAAATTACAACGAGGTACCTTTAAAAGTCGTTGATCGGAGGACCTGAGAACTCTAAAAGGAGAGTAAGGAACTATAAGATCACTGATGTACTGGGGGGCAAGGCCTGACAATGCCTTGTAAACAAACGAGAGAATTTTAAAATCAATCCTAAATTTGACCGGAAGCCAATGTAGGGATTGCAGTACCGGAGTAATATGTTCTCTCTTTCGCACCCCCGTTAAAAGCCTTGCCGCTGCATTCTGCACTAACTGTAGGCGGACAAGCAGAGTCTGGGGGAGACCGATATATAAAGAATTGCAGTAGTCAAGCTTAGATGTAATAAAAGAATGAACTACAATTTCTAAATCCTCACTAGATAAAAAATGCTTTACTTTAGCAATTGATCTCAGGTTAAAAAAGCTTCCTTTGACAACAGCACCAATCTGTTTCTTAAAGTTAAATGATGAGTCCATGATTACCCCTAAACTCTTTACATGATTCTCAGTCTTTAGGGATAAAGAACCCAAATGATCAGGAAAGCAAGATGAGACGGGAGAGCCTACAATCAAAACCTCAGTTTTACTCTCATTCAATTGGAGAAAGCTGCTGGATAGCCAGAGTTTAATGTCACTGTAACATTCCTGTACTTTGTCCAACGAACAGGTATTATCTAGCCTCACAGGAAAGTAAAATTGGAGATTGTCTGCATAGCAATGATATGAAATGCTATACTTTCGAAAAACACTGCTTAAAGGAAGCATGTAGAGCGAAAACAGCAACGGTACCAAAATCGACCCCTGAGGGACACCACAAACTAAAGGGGCCAATGTGGAAGAGAAGTCTCCCAGATTCACAGCAACTGTCCTGCCTTTTAAATACGAAGCAAACCACTGAAGAGCTAAACCCTGCACACCAACCCAACACTCCAGACGATTGAGAAGAATTTCATGATCTATTGTTTCGAAGGCAGCGCTCAGATCCAATAAAACCAGAACAACATGTGATCCAGAATCCAATGATAATAATACATCATTAGTGACCTGGAGCAGTACCGATTCTGTACTATGACAGGTCCTAAAGCCTGACTGGAATATATCTAAAATATTATAAGTATTCAGATATGAATATAACTGTGAATAGACCACTTTCTCTAAAATGTTCGAAATAATAGGCAATTTAGAAATTGGCCTATAGTTGTGATATACTGTATGATCCAAGTTAGGTTTTTTTAACAAGGGATGAAGAATTGCATGTTTAAAACTATTAGGTACCACTCATTAGAGAACTGTTAATTATAGCTGTTAGGCTAGAACTCACAGTAGGAAAAACATCTTTAAAAAGATGAGTAGGTAGAACATCCAGTCTGCAGCTACCTCCATTCATTTTAGAGACAATATCTGCCAGCTGCGCTGGTGAAACTGGTTCAAAGTTAGAAAAAATATTAGACAGCGCAGGATTAATTAATGAACAGGAATGTACAGGTACTATTTCACTTCTGATCTTCTCAATTTTTTGAGTAAAAAACAATAAAAAAATCTTCACAAGTCTCTTGTGTGGCATCTCTCATAACATTCCTTGAGGGGTTTAAAATAGTGTCAAATTGTGTCAAATAGTACTTTTGGCCGATTTGCATTATCTGAAATTACCTTAGAGTAAAATTTCATTTTTTTCCTCTTTTACTACTTTCTGATAGTTAGCCAAAGAATTTCTTAATATCTCAGAGGAGACTTGAAGTTTATCTCTCTTCCACTTCCGTTCAGCTTTTCTACATTCTTGTCTAAGAGTGTGAGTTACATTATTTAGCCAAGGTTGAAAGGTTCCCTTGTGTTTCTTTAGTTTAAGAGGGGCAACACAATCTAAAATAGAAGTACATGACTTCGTAAAAACCTCAACCTGCACTTCAGTATCCTCTCCAAAGGCTTTGTCTGTAACATGCGATAAATACAATTCTGAAAAAAGGTTTGCAGTTGTAGAATTAATGGACCTAGCATAGTGTAAAGGCTGAGAAGACATTGGATGGATATAGGAACAAACAACATGAAATACCACTGAATAATGGTCAGAAATGCCTACATCTGAAACTTCCAGGTTTGATACAGAAATACCAAATGATAACACAAGATCTAATGTATGACCTTTCTTATGAGTAGGACCAGTAACATGTTGTATGAAATTAAAAGATTCAATAATAGAAAGAAATTCATTAACCAATGGCTTTGACGGGCAGCATAAATGAATATTAAAATCCCCAAGGACCAGAAGTTTATCACAGCAAGACACCAAACCAGAGAGAAAATCAGAGAATTGCTGGATGAAATCCTTATTTAGTTTGGGAGGTCTATATACCAAAGCACAGAAAAATGAATCCGCAGTATCAATCTTCAGTAACTGTGCCTCGAAACTCGGATATGTTTGTGTGGATAGTAGTCTGCATTTAAAAGTGCCTCGGAAAACAGTGGCAATCCCACCTCCTCGTCCCGAGGTCCGTGGAGAGTTCAAAAAGTCACAGCCTGGTGGTGTCAGCTCACCCAGAGCCATCTGATCGCCAGGATTCAACCAGGTCTCAGTAATAAACAGAAAGTCCTATAGATGCAGTTTATACAAGTTGAACTTCTTTTAACTTGAATGCCGCATTTTTAGAACGCCATTTTATGTGTTAGACACTGCAAAGACAAGTGCAACGGTCCAACACGTCCATCTAGTGCATGTTTACATAGAAAAAAAAAGGAAAAAGCAGTGCAGTAGAATGTAAAAACAGGTTCTTAATGTCTGTGTTTTAAGGGTTTTTTTCACACTGGGCGCGTTTGATACACTCCAAGTATGAGCGTGATAGTTCCCAGACCCGCAGTGTTGGTCTACTGGTCACACTCATTTGATTCTTTCAAACCCTGGAGCACGTACATTCATCTTACGTCATTACAAACGTGCACGGCGAATGATAGAAAACAGGAAGCTGGTCAATATATTGTCTTTTTTATTAATTTGGTGTTATTATGCGCAGCAGAGTAAACAACATTTGGGTTTACTGTATGTGTGTTGCATGAAGGCGGCTTTCTGCTGCTTACAAAGGGACTCTGAGGAGACAGTGGATTGAGACTGAGGCCCCATCCACTAGGGGTGGAACGGTACACGGAAGTCACGGTTCGGTTCATACCTCGGTTCAGACGTCACGGTTCGGTACGACTTCGGTACAATGGAGTGAATAGCAAAAAAAAAAATGCAGAAGGCTTTTTTATAAATGTCTTGTATTTTTTAAATAAGTTTTAGGCTATTAATAAAGGCATAGAACCAGTTTATTTGTAGTGCACTGACAGTAGTTTTATATAATTAGTTTATTAATTAAATTATTAAAAAGACCTTGAGATATGTTTGGTAATTGTACCTGAATGAATTTAAAATTAATTTGCTATTTCAGATCAATATATTTGTTTTCCTTCATTTTAATTAACCCTAACTTTATTCTCATCTGAATTATAAATAATTGATATCCGTATAAAATAATACTACCATTAAATCTTTTGTTAACAGTTGTAGGTTACAGTTTGATAAGAGTTTAGAGTGTGACAAAAGCACAATGTTGTGTTTTATTGCGAGTGAACACAAATATAAGTAAACAATTTGCAGTTTTAATGATGTCCTGTATGAAAAAAATGACGGAGTATGTTTTTATGTGTCCACTGTTCGATCGCCCGTGCCTCTCACACACACACAGTTCGATCGCGCGATTCGCACCCGCGCCTCTCTCTCTCGCGTGCACACACACACACAGTTCGATCGCGCGATTCGTGCCCGCACCTCTCTCGCGCGCGCGCGCACACACACACACACACACACACACACACACACAGTTAATCGCGCCTCTCTCTCTCTCTCTCTCGCGCACACACACACACACTCCAGCATTGCGATCTTGATCGTAGCCTGTTCATTGCTGCGTTCACAGTCACACCAAAAGCGAATAGAGCGAAATTTATCGCTATTTAAGAGTTTATTTTATTTGTACCGTGTATTCTCCGTGCAAATTCGTGCACCGAACCGTGACGCCCGTACCGTTTCGGTTCAATACGAATACATGTACCGTTCCACCCCTACCATCCACACTACTGCGTTTTAGTTTAGAAACGGATAATTAAAACGAATACGATCTCCGTCCACACCAGCGTTTTAGCTGCGTATTAGAATTGATCTCCGTCCACATTAAAACGACTGAAAACGCGGATCACGTGACCATTCACTAACACTGGGCATGCGCGTGCCGGTGTAAACACAACTTCATTGATAAAATTATCCCACCATGCTCTGGGTTAACCCCAAACCGACGCTCCATGTACGGTCAACGCCGCCGCTGCACACGGGAATTGTCACATCTCTCGAATAATAGCTTGACTCCGGCGCATGTAGGCAGTTATAGCGTTGTAAAATGCAGAATTTACAACAGCTGCCAGCAAAGATATACGCCATGACTGATGACACCCAATCATAGAGCCGAGCGTGAGCCTCTACTAAGTCATCGTTTCTAAAGTCCTCCGTCTTGACCCGTCTACACTAAAACGCCCTCCGGAGATTCAAAACGAAAAACGGCTCGGCAGCGTTTCTAAACTTCTCCGTTTTGGGTCTCCGTTTTTGCCGTTTTAGTGTGGACGGGAGGTGCAAACGTAGCAAAAGGTCTCCGTTTTTAAACGAAATCGCAGTAGTGTGGACGGGGCCTGAGCCCTTCATTTGCCGTTCTGATTGCACACGCTATGCGCGAATACACTGCATATGTCACTCTTGCTCTTATCCAAGGTAAATCATCATCACCACTGTCATCTCTGACATGTATTTTGATGAATGACATTGGATAAAATGCACGCACAGGTTATCTTTTAAAGGTTACATTTTATGCCCCTTTTCACAAGACGTAATATAAATCAATGGTGTCCCCAGAATGTGCCTGTGAAATTTCAGCTCAAAATATCCCCCAGATCATTTATTATATGCTTGTCAAATCTGCCCTTTAAATGCAAATGAACTGCTGCTCCCTGCCCCCGTTCAGAAGAGGGCGGATCCTTTACACAAGCTTCGGATACTCCGGCAATAACAAAACACGCCAATCTCACATCCAAAAACCTCAGAAATAACAGAAGCGGAGTGCAGCCTTACGGAGAGACTCAGGAAGAGGTTTCTTTTAGACGCACCTGGATGTTTCTGAATGGTTAGTGGATACATACATGTATGTAGTTGTTGTGGAGTTACATTGATTCATCTCATCGACTTGCATGTACCGTCATGTTTAACTTTTGCACAAGTTGACACAGTTCCCTGAGGTCTTTATAAGACAGCGGTGACATTTTTTGGTCAAATAGTGTTCTGTGCTCGTCTGTGCAGCAACGACAGAACAGTTTGCTTCTTTGCTCGAACTTTTGCCATTGCGTTAGAACTGGTTTCACTGTTGTCGTTTGCGAAACCAAACGGCGGCGCCGTGGGTGGAAACGTGCAGATCAAGGGGCGGTAATATTATAATAAGATCTCCTTCCTACGTCAGAAGGAGAGTAAAAACTAGGGTTGGGTATCGGTTGGGTTTTATCCGATTCCAGTACCTACTCGGTATTTTTTAAACGGTTCCGGTGCTTAAACGGTTCTTAAATCGGTACTTAAAGGCACACTGTGGAACTTTTCAACCTTTATAATATATTACCAAAACCCATTGAGATGGTACATCGACTTACAATAGGTTGAATGACACGTCTGCCGAAGCCTGAAGGTGTCTGTATCGCTTTTCCTAGCACTATGTAACTTCGGGGTTCGGGTAGGAACCCGAGCACAAAAAGAACTACAAAATTCGACCGCTTTACGGCATACGTCACTTCCCCCACCACCCACAACTTCCTCAGATTCTGACGTGAGTGCTCAACTCGCGTTTGATTGCCGTCTGTATGTTTTCGTCATGGCCGAACCAACAGCTACAAGGAAGAAGGCAAAGGTTTTGTCAGAGGACACTAAAAAAAAGAAAAAGGCATAGTGACAAATGAAAAGCCAGGACGAGGATCACCATTGGTCCAGCGTTCGCTCGCTGGCGTGAGCTACAGGAGGAGGATGGGTGCCCGACCGATGCTAACGCTTGCCTGCACACAAATGCCGTTTCCAAGGTGACACAGATAAATCAAATAAGCAGTGTAGTATTTTCTGGTATTCCGGCCACAGCCGATGGTGTTATGAGTGTAATAAAATGCCCACAGCCCATTGTTCATTTCTACACACAAACACAGCCCGCCACAGTGCAGGGCTCGCACAAATAAAATCGACTCATGTCAAATGTACATTAAATGTAGTGAACGTTCCCACGACTCAGTGCCCACAAACACTACACACAACATGTCCCACGGTTTCTGTAAAACGAAACCAACACACATAAGTTACAGTCAGCTCAGGCCGACGGTGATTTTAGTGCAGTAAATGTGCCCGGCCCGCCGTCCCGCGCCCACATTCACTCACAGACATGTTAGCACTAAGCCGCTCGCTCTCTCTCAGCAGACTGCTATAAGGGAATCGAGCGCGGCCAGGCTGCCCGCCTCAAACACTGCAAGCACACACAATCTAAAGACACGGGAAGCTGACCCACTGTCTATGGGCGGACCGGTTGACTTTTTGTTGACTTTTGCGACAGTGCTGCGGAGCTTGTGGCCTCTAGGGACGCTAGACGTGAAAGTTACAGGTCGAGCGCCACTAGTGGCCAAAAGTTCCGCAGTGTGCCTTTAAGAAAATGAAACCGTACACACTTTATAAAAAAAATAATACCCTTTAATTTACAGGGCCAAACTGGACACAATATTAACTTAAATCTTTAAACAATATAAATACAAGTAACATATGGTAATAATAAAACCAATATAAAATAAAAATTCATATTTACATAATATCAAATGAAACAATATTGTATCAAACAATGTAATAATACTGGAGATTAATAGAGATTACTAGCAGGCAGAGCTGCCAACTCTCACGCATTGACCGTGAGACTCACGCAAATGACCCTTTTCACACAGAAAAATCGCGGACAAAGAGGTCACCGACAGACAAGACGAGAAGGTTACTTTTGATATGGAACAAATCCACAGCTGTCAGATTCTGTCAATATTTTTACGAGATTCACACAATAAATAACGTTTTGGCTCTTTGAAATGTGACAGATCGCTCTAGCGCGTCAGTTCAAACGGCACGTGATACAGCAGCCTACAAATCCACTGCTTCTTAGCTACGCAGCGTTGAGTGAACCTATGAAAGAGAACATCTCTGGTTACTGGTGTAACCTATGTTCTCTCAATAGGGAACGGGACGCTGCCAAGCTCCTCGCGCTGCCGACCAGCTTCCTTTTTCGGCAGAGAAATCTGAGGAGCAGATGGCGCGCGCGCGCCAACATAATATGACGACGTAAGTGCGTCGATGCAGAATTGGCTTGATTCTATATGGGATTCAGACTATCGGCACACCCAAAGGGCGTTCTGACGCGTAATTTTACACGTGAAATGCAGCCAAACCTTGCGAGAAAGAGCGCGCATGCGAGAAAGAGGAAACTGTGCTCCAAACTGTGTAGCACACGCACGACGGAGAGGGAGAGAGCGAGAGACCTTGCGTGTGTGTGTGTGTGCGCCTAATGAAGTTAGGCACCGAAATCAGGCACCGAAATTTTCGTTCTTATTCGGTCTGGTTACTACCGTTTACGTCGGAACCGGTTCCCTATTGGCACCGAGTTTCGGTACCCAACCCTAGTAAAAACTGATCGGCTTATTTTTTGACATGCTTGCAGAGAAAGGCTTACCAAAACAAAGTTACTGGGTTGTCACTTTTCACGTTTTCTGGGTTGGTAGATGCACCGGGAACACGATTACAGCAATTAAACATGAAAAAAGTCAGATTTTCATGATATGCCCCCTTTAAGGATTAATCATGCAATTGTATTGTGCTATGTTTTTGTGCTGAATTCGTATAGCTTTTGTAGTCTATTGAGAGACTCCGTCCCCCCGCATTACACCCCATTTCCAGCCCTGCTCCTAATGAACAAATGAGTTGAATCAGGGGCCGTGATCTTACCACTAAGAGTTCTCCTAAATAGCAGTAAAAGTTCTTAGGTAAGAGTTTCCTCTTAAAATCTATTTACAAAGGTGCTGAGACCAACTTTTACTAAGGAATAGAGAGAAGTCTTAAGCTAAGAGAAAGGGCGGGGTTGACCTCGTTGCTGGAACCTTACTCACGCAAAGACAAGTTTCATTGGTTCTTGCAGAAGCTCAAACGTGCTGGGGTAACATGCGAGAATGAACCTCATTGGTTCCTGCGTGTTAAGCAAGCATGCTTGACGTCAACTCAGGTGGACACCAACCGTGATCACATGTAAAAAACAACAACACTCAGACTCTTTTTTAGATTCAGACTATAATTCATCCAAAATAAAAAAATAATTTAACTAAAAAGACAAAAGGTCATTTCTGACAGGTTAGTAGACTGGGTTACCTCAGAAGCTGCATGGCTGAGTCATATTCCTCCGTCTCCCACAGATTCTTCTCAATGCAGGATACATGGAGTTCTCGAATCTAAGCACAGTAACAGTTACATGTGATGAACACTAGCCATTGTCTTTAGTTTTTAATTCAGCTGAAAAAAGTATATATATATATATATATATATATATATATATATATATATATATATATATATATATATATATATATATATATATATATATATATATATATATATATATATACACACACTCACCTAAAGGATTATTAGGAACACCATACTAATACTGTGTTTGACCCCCTTTCGCCTTCAGAACTGCCTTAATTCTAGGTGGCATTGATTCAACAAGGTGCTGAAAGCATTCTTTTGAAATGTTGGCCCATATTGATAAGATAGCATCTTGCAGTTGATGGAGATTTGTGGGATGCACATCCAGGGCACGAAGCTCCCGTTCCACCACATCCCAAAGATGCTCTATTGGGTTGAGATCTGGTGACTATGGGGGCCATTTTAGTACAGTGAACTCATTGTCATGTTCAAGAAACCAATTTGAAATGATTCGAGCTTTGTGACATGGTGCATTATCCTGCTGGAAGTAGCCATCAGAGGATGGGTACATGGTGGCCATAAAGGGATGGACATGGTCAGAAACAATGCTCAGGTAGGCCGTGGCATTTAAACGATGCCCAATTGGCACTAAGGGGCCTAAAGTGTGCCAAGAAAACATCCCCCACACCATTACACCACCACCACCAGCCTGCACAGTGGTAACAAGGCATGATGGATCCATGTTCTCATTCTGTTTACGCCAAATTCTGACTCTACCATCTGAATGTCTCAACAGAAATCGAGACTCATCAGACCAGGCAACATTTTTCCAGTCTTCAACTGTCCAATTTTGGTGAGCTCTTGCAAATTGTAGCCTCTTTTTCCTATTTGTAGTGGAGATGAGTGGTACCCGGTGGGGTCTTCTGCTGTTGTAGCCCATCCGCCTCAAGGTTGTGCGTGTTGTGGCTTCACAAATGTTTTGCTGGATTCCTCGGTTGTAACGAGTGGTTATTTCAGTCAAAGTTGCTCTTCTATCAGCTTGAATCAGTCGGCCCATTCTCCTCTGACCTCTAGCATCAACAAGGCATTTTCGCCCACAGGACTGCCGCATACTGGATGTTTTTCCCTTTTCACACCATTCTTTGTAAACCCTAGAAATGGTGTTGCGTGAAAATCCCAGTAACTGAGCAGGGACACCAGTGTCCTGTTTCTATGTTTTTTAGATTCACTGCCTGATAGACAATAGTTAGACAGGTTTTACAATATAAATTTAACAGTAACAATTTCTGCTAAAACTTTGTGAATAGAGACTGAGGCTGGTAGGCCACATGACAACGGCAACATGACAACATAGTACATCTTGATTATATTCATACTATTCAATCTACATTGTGTTCTGAAAAAGAAAAGATAATTTGACCATTTTGTCTTGGAAGTAAATGATTACATGATCACTTAATTTGGTTTAAATACTGAGTAATATTAACTAACATGTACTTACTATAAAGTTTGGGTTTGGGATTACAGGTAACACTTTATTTTTACAGTGTCACTGTTACATGTTACATCTAGTTAGTTTAGTAATAGCTATAAATTATGTATAATTACATACAACTAACCCTAAACAAAACCAAACTATAATCCTAGCCCTATAGTAAGTACATTAACTTACTTAATATTAGGGGTGCACGATTCAGAAAATGTCACGATTCGATACCGATTTTTTGTCTCAAGATTCGATTCAAAATCGATTTTCGATTCAAAAACTATTCTCGATTCAAAAAACGATTCGCAGTATATAAATGTAGTTTACTTTTTCCAATGTGATTGATTGCAGTAGACACAATTTAAAAGAAAAAAACCACAACAAATTAAATGTAGTTTGATATTACTTTATATGTCATCATACAAAAATAAAAACTTTTGCAACTAAAAAGTGAAAAGTGCCAAGCTTTGGCCAGCTTTCAAATACATTTAATTCAAGTTTAAAATATAACTTAAATAAAAAGCTTTTACATTTAGCTTTAAAGTGCTGTAGTCAGATCAAACAAACAATTATGCTAAATGTGGTTTAAGGAGTACTTCAGCTACCAGGTTGAATGTCGAAATGTGAACTCGACTGGGCACATTGAACTTCCTAAAAATATATAGCTACTAATGTCATGAACCCTTGCGAAATTATTTTAAATAGATTTAAAAGAGCCACCGCTACTGGTAAGATCTATGGTTAGATTGATTTGTTTAGATCCAGTGAAGTCGTTCATAGGCGTAATTTGCGGGTATCTCCAGTTAACTAGCAGAGCATTCATTTAGTTCGCTATTAAATAAGAGATCTGTTGTTTTTGAAATCAAGCTGAGCGCTCGTTGCCGCTGCTATCAGTGTCATGGATACAGTGCATTTATCTCTGTGGCTCGCACAGTCTTCACTCGGACGCGCGCTTCATATCGCCGTTGTGGTTCCGGTGAAATCACAAAATAAAATGCACACAAACGTGATGAACATATTCGGTTTTGATGAGAGAGAAAAAACTATACGAGTGCGGTTTAGAAGAACCCGTAACCTCTGACACCCTCGCAGCCTCGAAACACTACCGGACCACCGTTAAAAGGTGGTCCGTTAAAAGTCCCGACTCACCCGATTGCCACTCCGCTCGTGCACGCCATTAAAAAAAAAATATGAATCGATTTTTGGAATTCTATGAATTGATTCTGAATCGGTAAAGATTGAATCGCGATTCAAATGTGAATCGAATTTTTTGCACACCCCTACTTAATATTACTCAGTACTTAAATGTATAGTTACAGTGTAACAAAGACATTAAAATAAAGAGTAACCGTGTCCCTGTTACAGTGTAATTATATACATTCAAGTACCGAGTAATATTAATTAAATACATGTACTTACTATAGGGCTAGGGTGGGATTAAGGTTTGGGTGAGGGTTATGCCTGGCTCACACTACAGGAGTTTTAAAATCCTAACCGATTTTGAAATCTGGTTGCAGCTCACACTTAAGGAGAATCTTTGCAGATTTTCTTCCCTCAAATCTTAAACATGCTCACACTACAAGATTTGAAAATCGCAGCGCATCACACACTACACAATGTTATTAAGATTATCGTGCCAGAGGAAGTGCCTTACGTGATCTCACACAGCAGATCGGAAGCGAAAAGCGGATGTAAACATAATATCTGTCCTTCATATCAAGTCATATTTGTGAAAAGGTAGCCATGAGCAAGGAAAGATAATTTTTTTTTTAAACCTAATCTTTTAACATGTAAGGTTAGGCTATTTCTAATGAATGGCGTCAGCTCTGGTCAATACAATGAAAAAATGCCATTGATCTCTATGAAGTGAAGCATCAGCTTCACGTTGCCCATGCGCCGCATTGCTGCTCAGCTGAACCTTGTAAAGTGGAGCTCAAAGTTAAAATGAAATATTAAAATAATTAACAGCTTGTTTCATTACATCAATATTTGGATGAATCCGCTTTTTTTTTTTTTTACATTTCCGTTGAATGAACAGTTTAATGACTCACTCAAAGACAGTCCCTTGCCGTAACAATGTAACTGGAATGAGCGACAGCCTGTCTATAACACGCAGAGACGAGCAATGCCGAGTGGTAAAATATCAGCAGAAAGCCTTTAGTAAAGTGAGATTCGAGGATCGAAACTAACTGTTATGTAACAATGGCCTAAAAAGCTTATTGTCAGGTTTATGTTCTGTTATTATATTGTGTAGACCCTTATTTTGATATTGTATCTTCTGTTTACTCCACTTCGTTTCAATGCGCTTTTTAGTTTCGGTTTCGTTACTGAAGATGTACTCATCTTCGTGCCTGCTGAGTCAGTGTTGACCACAGCGTAACACTTATTTATTTAGCAATAAATAAATAAATAAAGATAATACCGCATATCGCGCTGTTGAGTCACTCAAAATTACAACAATGGAAATTCCTTCACCACGACAGCCCTACTTGTTTCTTATTGGCTAGACAGTGACGTACCGGTAATCACAATCTTGCTCATCCCGATAAATATCAAACATGTTTGATATGATCGGGGCGAGCCCGATTTGTGTGAGAGCAGATCGGGAGGTGCAAGATTCGATCTGTGAAAGCCTCACATTACCAGATAATCTGCGCCGAACATCGGAACCGATAGAGGTAATCAACAAGATTTTTTCTCCGATTCTCGTGAGGGGAAAATCGGGCATAAATCGGCCTAAAACTCCTGTAGAGTGAGCCAGGCATTAGTTGCATGTAATTACTATAGTAAATACATGTAACGTGTAACAAGGACACATTAAAATAAAGTGTTACCGGGTTTAGTTGCATGTAATTATTAGGGGTGTAACGATTCATTCGTTTTCTCGATGCATCGATTACAAATCCTGACGATGCATATGCATCGATCTTGAAACATGTATTTCGAATCGTGAATCGTTTATTTCGGTCAATATTCGATTTAAAATGCTAAGAATCGAATAATTTGCGATTCTATATCGATTCAGTGCTTTAAAACATATAAACATTAAATGACTACATGCGCGAATTAATGAGGCGTTGTGCGGCGTCATTTCGGGTCCTCACAGCTCTCACATACTCGCTGCACTCTTACCATCTTTCACTGGATTTCGCTCGCGCTCGGTCCCATAGCTCTCATCTACAGATTTTTGAGCAGTCCATGTTTGAGCTCTCCTCAGGACAGCCACTGGTGTTCACATGAGCAGATAACAGCTCTCTATCGAGAAAGCAAGCCATTGATAAAGCTGCCATATTGCGCGGTCACTGCTATGAAACAACGCGTTCGTTGCGTGGAAACGTCACCGTTATTTTCTTTAAGATAAGATACTGAAGTTTTACGGAAATGGGTCATACCCGTCCTGAGCAGTTAAAGTAAAACCCCACTTATTCAAGGGTGCGCATTTATTACATGGAAAGAGAAAACATATAATAGGTGTCTAAAATGTCTAAAATGCACACGCTTCCGATTAATCATGAATGATGAATAAAATGTAACTTAATGTCGTTAAACTGAACTGATGAAATAACTACAACATTAATTACACTGAAATAAGAGCGCGTGGTTTATCCATCAATCAGATGCGCATTAAAGTTGCATTCGTAATCGTTAATATAGCACAAGTAGACAGCCGGCGCGTTTTCTTTCAGAATCACAAGGAAAATGTTCAGTCGGATAAAGAGAACAAAGAGTAGCTATTCCATGAGGAAACGTTAGTTATGCTAAGGATAAGTTGGGAAAATTCATGGTATTTTTAGTCTCACAATGAAGGATGTTTAATGTACCAGGAACACTTTAAGGTTGTGTATCCATTCCTACAAAATAGTTAGCATGATGAACTATACTTTTAAAGCCTTTTTAAATCTTGGTTTACATTTTTACAAATGCTAATTTATAGGCTTTGGAAATATTTTTTTATAATAATAGATTCATTAAAAACTAACATGAACTAACATTAACAATAGACAAAATGTCGTTGTTTTTTTTTTTTTTTTGTTCTCTGACCCCCGAAGGCAGCTGTATAATTCACACCCTGACTAAGACCCATTGGGGGAAGCATTTAAATAATCCTATGAATGCATATAAAAAATTAAGAATCGAATCGAATTAATCGAATCGCATCGAATTTTAATGTGAATCGCATTGAATCGAATCTTTCTGAATTTGCAAAAATCGTTCTTGAATCGAATCGAAAACCTATGAATCGTGAATCGAATCGATTCGCTGCCTACCCAAAGATTCACAGCCCTAGTAATTATGCATCATTTACTGTTATTACTGTCAAGTACATGTAATGTAATGTTTAAAAAAAAAGTGCTGCCGAAAGGTCTACTTACATGCTTTCCGAGAGGAAACTTGGGCAGTAATGATGTCAAAGAGTGCAGACATTGAAGAATTGGATAGTAATTTTTGTGGTATTTATGGAGGTTTTTCAGTAATTTTTGACATACATCCTGAAAAGACATAAATCACAAACGAAGATTAGTTTATTGCTTATATACAAAATAAAGAAAACAAACAAGATGCCCCTTTTAATATTGTTTTTGGAGCATGTCACAAACCAAAACTGTGCATATACGACTTTTTTACTTTCGTTTTGTTAGTCTAACCAAAACCGATGGATACAGCATGACCCAAAGAATCCAGACGCAAAGTTCACAATTCAGGCAAGTAGTGTTGGGGCAACACATTACAGGTAACAGGCGTTATGTAATCATGACAAACGCGCCGGCACATTCATATTCCTCATAACAGTGGAAAAAACTTAAAATAGTCATTTATATGTTTGGTTTACTGTATTTTAACTTAAAATACTCCAACATCATTTTAAACTGTAAAGGGTCTACTACTTTTATATGTGTACACTCACAATAAACAAAACATTGTGCTTTTGTAAAATGAAGAAAACAAACAGAATGCCGCTTTCTGCAGTCTCGGTTTCCTTTCTGTGAACTTGTTTTTGGAGCGCGTCACAAAAATAAACCAGAACTCTGCATATGCTACTTGTCGCAGTTTTTTCTTTCGTTTTGTTAATCTATAAATTATTTAAGTGAAATATATTTACGCGTATTTTATCCTTTTATACATACAGTTTTATTGTTTTTCTCCGTTCACAGAAGCGCTGCAGGTGCGTGATGTGACAATATGTGAATCCTCATGTTGTTTATGCTGCTATTTGCGCATTTAAAACTAAACCTCTGGAAAATAAATTGTTCATTTTAATGGGTCACAGACTTATCCATTCTTCGGTTGTCAGTTAAATGAAATGAAATAAAAATTAAATGAACATCCCTACCATGAAAAATAAGCCTTGAATTTACCTCAGAACAACACAATGCAGCTTGATCCAGCAGATGATATAACTTCTGATTAGTAAGTCATTTATTCTTATTTGCATTAGTTAACGTTATTTTTACAAACTTGTACACATTTTATTAGTTGGCCATTTCCCAATTATATCAGGCTTTACCCCTATATTGCCACACAATGGCAATAAATAATAGATAAACATAAAACATAAAATGTTGTATATACTGTGTGATAATGCATACAAAGCACATGTGCATCTATGACTACAAAAATCATGATGTTGTTTTGTTATGAGTGCTATGTTTGTTTTGTTATATCAGCTACACATAAGCTAATGTGGCCACGGCAGAAATTGATTTGGCACCTCTGGCCAACATTATAGAGGTTAAAGCAAGTGATAGAGGGCCAATTTTCAAATTTCATTGGTTCTTGCAGAAGCTCAAACGTGCTGGTGTAACATGCGAGAATGAACCTCATTGGTTCCTGCGTGTCACGCAAGCATGCTTGAGCTTCCATTTGCCTAAACTGAATGCTGCAAATATTTAAAGAAATATTAAAAATGGCTGCCTGTAAATCTCGGTCTGCTGCTGACATTAATGCTGCATGTGTGTTTTCTTCTGCTCTAACCAAACTTCATACACAGATTTCTAATGGTTGGCCTCCTTCACCCAAAGGACTGGACGTTGAGTTGTTGCCGTATTCATGGTTCATAGTTGCTTGTGCTATCACTGTTTAATGATGTCATTGTTTGTTCCAGGAAAACTGAAGTTGTAATATGGTGAGTGTCGATCACAGCGCCTTTTAATTGCTATTTTTGATCCCGCAATTATTCATTTACAAATTAAGCATTGAGCACAAGTTTTTCTTTTAAACCGGTATACTGCCCACCAATGCAAATCCTATGAATTTTATGGGAACAGCAAAAAGATAATTTGAGTCATTTGTCAAAGTCTTCAGCAGTAAGCGGTGGGAGTTGCAGCAATAAGTTTGCCCACAGATATTATACCAGGCATGAGTTACCGTATTGTGTATTTCTTAGGTTTGTGGTGCATCATCTAATAGACTGTTGAAATTGTCAACCAGACTCACACAACAACTACTACACAGAACTTGTTACACTCTGCATGTAATAGAAATAAAGAGGAGACACAATTCAGTCAACTACATGGACTATTGTGGAATAATAATAATAATAATAATTAGTAGTAGTTACCTTGACATGTTCATCACTGGTAAGGAGCAGCACCTGCTCCTGGGGCTCTTGAGTCTCCACATACCTACAAACACACATGTTGTGTAGTTACAGAACTGTTGTGGTAGCCATTTACTGGAGTGAAAATGTATGTATACCTCATGAATGAGGGTAGATGACGGATTCTTTCCACATTTTTTTGGCTCAATGTCTTGGCACAAAGCAAAGCCTCTTTCTTCTGACAGCAAAGCACACTGAGAGGCTGGCCATTAAAGTGTTCTAACATAGAGAACTGGAAGATAAAAGGAGTAATTGCAGTGTTTAATTGCAGTAATCTCCAATCCCATCCAACCTCACATTAATAATAATGTTTTAGTTGCTGTTGTAGAGCTGCATGACTAATCGTTAAAAAGATCGTAATCTCGATTCAAACACCCACGCGATATTATTCCTACTTGAAAAAGATGTGTCTATGTCTTTTAAACCTTTGACAAAAATCACACCGGAACATTCAAATCTGCGTTTGCACCATAAAAAAAGGAGCTTCACAAAGACTCCTTTCAACCACACAATATCTTTATTTCTGCGATACAAATATTACGATTAATACAGAAGTACCTTTTTTTTTAAAGATAAAAAGTTCATAATTTGGATATAAACAAATATGTCTACGGAAGCATTTAAAATAGAGCCAATCACCTTTTGAAAGTAAATTGGCTCTTCAAATAACGATTAGGTCAATCAATTACATCGTTACACCAGTAGGTGTACAAAAGCCAACAATTAAAAATTGCGCATGTGAAATATAAAAACAAAGTAGGGCTGTACTGGTCAACTTAAGTACCACCGGCAGTGGTACACCAAAACACTTTTTTTTGTATGTGAATGCTGTTTTGCAAAAATATTACGACACGAGTGAAGCTCAAAGCTTTGTTCTAAGTACATTAGCCCATTTATTTTAAGCCATTTGTCAGCTTTGTATTGATTTGTGATATTCTGGGTCCAGGTGCATAAACATAGCCGCTAAGTTAAGACTGTTTATTAAAGAACTAATATGACCAACTAGCAGTTAATTAGAGCTAAGTGTTACTTTTCAGATTCAAATTAGACCAATCTTTTATGTCTGGTCTGGATTGAACAATATTCCATGAGTTATTCCACTGGACATGGAATCTCATTTCTTTTCCCAAATCTTCACTCACGTCAGACCCATTCTTGCAGGTGATACATTTTCTTCCTTTCATTCAATTTTTTTAATAATTATATATAATTATTTTAAAATAATTATTTAAAAATAAAGCCACTGTCACAGCCATAAAGCAAAGTGAAAGAAACAGCATTAGCACCTCCTGTGATGGGTTCAGGTAGACTTTAGAGAGGTTTGGAATGGCGATATTGTTTGGGGGTTTGTAGTTCCTAATATTAATTTGAATTGAATTGAATTTATTTCAGGATAGCCCCTTGAGATGTAACATCTCATTTTCAAGGGGGTCCTACATCTATACATGTACAGACACAAAAGCCAACCACACAGCATCCACATAGGAAAGACACAGACACACATACAAAACATTTACTCGCTCACCTGCCCTTGACCCCACAATTAACATAGCACACTTAATAAAATATATTAACCAAAATCAGCCAAATACATCAAACAACTAATGCGTCATTTGTCAGTATGCCTTATCCAAAATGTAACATGCAGTATAACGTCGCATCTCACACAGAATTGTCAAAGAAAATCCAGAAAAAGAGAAGATGTAAACAACTATATGTTTTCTACATAGATCATTATATGTTATACCATTGAGGTCCCTAATTACAAGAACATGTAGTTTTAAGAAAAGAAAAAAGTGATGCTTTGAATAAACCAATTGAAGAAATAGACCTCAAAAAAAGAGGAAGATTATTCCAGTCATAAGGGGCTTTATAATGAAATGCTCTCCTACCAGCTACAGAAAGTAACCTTGGAATCTTAAAAAACGTTGGACATTGGAGGTGTCTCAGTGAGTATGTCGAGCAATAGGGTATTAAATGCGGTTTAAGATATTCAGGACAATTGAAATGAACACATTTAAAAATAAATAGAGTCCAGTGGTAGTCCCTTCGTTGTTTAGGTTGCAACCAGTTTAATGAATCGTACATAAAACAATGGTGAGTTTTAGATGGACAGTTCAATATAAATCTGCACAAAGAGTTGAATAAAACATTAATAGGTTTGAGATTGGACTCAAAGGTATTAGTGTAAACTATGTCTGCATAATCAATAATTGGTATTACCAGTTGAGAAATAATTTTTTTTCTAACTTGAATTGAAAAACAATTAATTGATCTGTACAGAGTGCTAAGACATCCGTATACTTTCCTAATGATATTATCAATGTGTATCTTAAAGTTAAGGTTAGAGTCGAGCCAGAGGCCCAAATATTTAAATTCCTCAATCTGCAAAGGGACCCATCTAAAAACTTTATTTCAAAGCCTGAAGCACAACGACGATTTTGTATCGTGGAAAACACCATGCAGCAGGACTTCTTCATGTTCAACAGAAGTTTATTCCTGAACAACCACTGTTGTACTTTATCAAAGTCAGATTGAAGAGTTCTTTGAACGTGCAACAAATCACGATCAGAGGTGTAGACAACAGTATCATCAGCATAGAGCTCTAATTCACAATGAGAACAAACTTGTGCCAGGTCATTGATAAAGATTGAAAAAAGTAAGAGGCCTAAAGTTGAGCCTTGAGGAACACCTTTATCAACAATTAAGTAATCTGACTGGAATCCTTGATAAACAACACATTGACGTCTATTATGCAAATAAGAGTTGAACCAAAGCAGAGCATGTTTGTTCAAACCAATAGAGTAAAGCTTATCCAGTAGAAGATAATGGTCAACCATATCAAAGGCCTTTGAAAGATCAATGAAAGCAGCACCTATGAAATTACCTTTATCAAAACCCGAGAAGACATCATTTGTAAATTTTACGAGAGCAGTTGAAGTAGAAAAATTGGCTCTAAAGCCAGATTGATGTGGAGATAAGATGTTGTAGTTATTAATGTACACAGTTAGTTGATTAAAAATTAGTTTCTCAAATATTTTAACAACTACACAAATGATGGAAATCGGGCGATAATTATTCACATCCTATTGGTCTCCACCTTTGAAAAGAGGTGTCACTCTTGCAGCTTTCCAAATTTGTGGCACAGTACAAGTAGTTAGTGATAAGTTAAAAAGATCTACAAGAGGAAAGATCAATATGTGAGCAGCCATTTTGATAAATTTAGCTTCCAGCTCATCTGGTCCTGCACTACAATTTAATTTAAGGTCCTGTAATACATTAAAGACATCAGTAGGCATAATCTTTTTAAATGAAAAAGAGCCAGCAGGCATAGAAGAATAAGAAGACCATGGCAAACCATCAGAGCAAACAGATTTTGAACTACATAAAGACGAAAAATGATGATTAAAGGCATGAGCTATTTGCAAAGGATCAGTTAAAGTGTCATTATTCTTGCATATTCGCTTCACAAATGTTTTTTTATTTTTGTTCAGAATGTTATTTAAGTGATTCCAGAATTGCCTCGGGTTATTGAAATCGCGAGAGAAACAGTCTCTATAATAATTTGATTTGGCATTCCTAGTTTCAGTTTTACATTTATTCCTTAACTGCCTGTAAATTGACCCATCCAATTCATCCTTTGAGAGACGATATTTAACCCAAGCTTTATCTCTTTGTTTGAATAGTTGAAGTAGATTAGAGTTTAGTTTATCCATGGTAAATGCCTACCTTTGACCTTAATCGTTCTCACAGGAGCATGTTTATCAATTATGGTTTTTACTTCAGTATGAAAGAAGTTCCATGCCTCTTCTACAAGTGGAATTAGTTGAAGCCTGTCCCATCTAATATCTAATATATCACTTATGAAGTAATCAATATTAATATTTTTACATTGCCTTATTGTGATATATTTATATGGGGAACTCTGTATTTTAATTTTCCAGATGCAGTATATTATAGAATGATCACTAAAGCAGTCTGATAAAACACCCGATTTAATAATCCTATCTGGATTGGAAACAAGGATCCAATCAAGCAATGTAGCAGAACGGCCATCAACTCTCGTGGGTTCTTTTATTAACTGAGTAAGGTTTACGCTGCCTATAAGATTTCTATCACCCGAGGAAGACCGATCCAACCAATTATTATTAAAGTCACCCAGTATGATCAGTTCATTGTGTCTGTCAAGAGAATTAATAGTAGCCAAAATAGCATTTAAGGAATCAGTGGGAGCAGAGGGAGGTCTGTAAATATTTCCGATAGTAAGCTGTTTGTTTTCATGAAAAATGATATTAGTAAAAAGACACTCAAAGTTAATAGGCTCAACATTAGGAGAGACATACTCAGAAACGAGATTTGTATCAACATAAGTAGCCACACCTCCTCCTCTTGATGTCCTATCAGCTCTATATAAAACATAATTATCAATTCCCACCTCATCATTAGTGATTTTATTATGAAGCCATGATTCAGAAATAGTGATTATATTAGGTTTATGTAAAGCAACCCATACCCTGAGAAGATCAATTTTAGTAGCAAGGCTCCTGATGTTGAGATGAATTACTTTTAATCCTTTAATTAGATCAATAACTCACAAATAAGTAGGCATATAACAGATAATAGGGTATAAGGAACAGATGGCGAGAACAACAATGTTAACAAATTTAGACAAACAAAAACAAATATAAAACAAAACAAACTAAGCAAGCAAAACAAATAGTCCATAGTTAAGCAGTAACTATGAAGAATACTCCGAGAGTCTCATAACCCACATAAATATTAATTTGTAACGAAAAATAAAAATTATTTTTACCTTAAACATTTCATAGTTCATTATCAATTCATAATGGTTTCACAGAGAATGCATCAAATTAATTAGCTCATAACTAGACAAATTATAAGTAATGCATGTAACTTTATATTCTGGACTGCCAAATTAAAGACTTACAGTAGCTCTATATAAGCAGTGCAAAAAGACAAACCAGATCAGATCTCTGACTACAACAACCAGCCATCAGCAGGGAAAAAAGGAAATAGGCTATTAAGGCAAAAAAGTCCAAACAGAACTACTGCTGTCCAAACGGTATCAGTAAACAAGCAAGCCTTCAAAAGGAGCAATAGGCTAAGGCCTATCAATACAGTTTAAATAGAAAGTTTAAATAGTACAGCAAAGGCCAAAACTGCAACACACAGTACAAAACAAAACACCAGTGAATTCTAAATAACAGGAAG